ACCCGCTCCTCCGGCGGCGGCAATAACAGCAATAATATCCAACAGTTTGCCAGCTCGGTGGACAATTTGCGCAGCTTGTCGCGTCTGTTTCCCAACTTCAGCAAGGAGTTCTCCAATTCGCTGCCCGGCGACATGCCCCTGGATAATGCACAACAGCAGTTGGATTATATCCAGGCCGATTTGAGTGGCGATTCCAGTTTGGCTTCCAGTTTCAGTCGCTCCGGCATGGATGAGTCTTCCATGAGCTGTCGCCAGCCACGGCGATTGGGTGAGGATCTGCTAAAGATGTTTCTGCAGGAAATCGCCACCGATATGCTGGTGGAGGTGCATGGACGTCGCATACGCGCCCACAAGTGCATCCTGCGCAGTCGCTGTCAGTACTTTGCCGCCATGCTGGCCGGGCACGGCGCCCAGAGCGTCGTCTCCCTGCAGGGCTACTCCTATGCAGCCGTGCACTTTGCCCTCTGTCACATCTATTCGGGCGCCTCGCATCCGCCGGATGGCATCAGTCTCATGGAGCTAGCCGCGCTGGCGGATCTCTTGGGCCTCGAGGGGCTCAAGGAGGTGACATCGCATGCTTTGAAAACCAACTACTGCCACAACTTCCATAAGCCCTGCTCCGGCTGCATCGATGGCATCTTGCAGGTGCTGCCCGTTGCACTGAATCATGCGCTCGATGATCTCTATCGCAAGTGCTTGCGCTGGACCTGTCGCCACTATCTGAGGGTGTGGCCCACGCGACAATTTGCCCAGCTGCCGTCGGACATACTCGGACGCTGCCGTCAACAGATTGTTGCCTATTTGGTAAGTGCAATAATAATCAGGGTGTATTATAATTGAGGCATATAATGTGTAAGCCGGAATGTATATACATATAATCCAGATTAATCTCCTATCGCGAATATACTTTATGACATGTCCGTTTGTCCGTCTTTATAAAAAAGCTGACATCAGAATTTATTGATAGCTTTCCCCTTTTTGCCCAAAATCAATAAATATTGACTTTCAGTCCCCTTTGTATACCCTTCCTTTTAAAGTGTATTATGATTATTTCACGAAATGTGGGACGCTTTAAAGGAGACATATCGATTATTTAAAGCATTTATATTCTTGATCAGCATCAACAGCTGAATCAATATAGTCCACTTTTCCGCCCGCCTGAATATTTCTATTGAAGCAGTGCATCATTATGAATTGACCAGAGCGCATCACTATATCATATATATACATATCATGGGAACAATGCCAGCTTCTGCATTTGCCACTTGCCCGCAAGGCTATTTGATTTAAGCATGCTGAAGCTGAAGCTAACGATCTCTTCTTCCACACACACACACACACACACATTCTCCGCTCAGACCTCCGAGACGGTGCTGGACACGGTGCTCGATTGTGATCATCTGCTGGCGCAGCTGTCGGCCTATCGCTGGGGTCATGTCTGTGAGCAGCTGGTGCGCGACATACTGGACGCGGCCTATGGCTATGTGGGTGATCATTTTGCCAGCTTGATAGCCAGCGATTCGTTCCTTTCACTGGGACACGATCGCAGTCGCCACATTCCACGACTCGAGACGCTGCTGCTGCAGACGGCGGCCGCGCTCACGCCGGAGCAGGCGTGCCGCAGCTATCAGCGCGTGACGCGGCTGAACACGGTGCTGCAGGCGAAGCTCATCCAGATGCCGGTCAATCTGGGTGAACTGGCCAAGGAGCTGCAGGGTCTGCAGGAGGAGCAGCTGGACTGGCAACCGGAATATATACGCTTGGTCAGCGCCCTGGTCTATGCCGTTGAGCAGTGCCTGATTAGGCAATGCTCGCGTGCGATGCGGGTGACGGCCTGGCAGCGCATGGATCTGGAGCTGCGCAAGAAAATACAGACCATGGCCCGGCTCACCGAGCCGCTCGATCTCAAGCGCAACAATGGCAAGCCGGTGAGCAAGGCCTTCTCGTTTGGCGGCAGCACACGCAGCCAGGATCTGGTGCAGATCAAGCTGGCCATACAGGCGCAAACGAAGCGCGCCCAGGCGCACGAGACGCAGCTGTACAAGGCGACGCAGACCAACTACGATGCGCTCCATGTCCAGACCACGGAGCGGGGCGTGCAGGCACAGGCCAATCACGATCTGCGCGAGGGCAACAGTGAGTATTAAATCAAATACATAGATATAACCAAACGATGACAACTTTTACTCCTTCTGCCCACAGGTAAATTGCTCAAGTCCAACTCCCGCGCCTATGTGCCGCAGGCGACGCAGCGTGCCAGCTCCCAAACGGCAAGCGATCGGCACAGCCTCAATACGCATCGACGCACACAGTCCGAGGCGCCGCCCGTGACTCAGCGGAAGCCCGTGGCTGTTGCCATGGCGGCGCAGCAGCAGGCCTCAGCCTCCAACAGTGCCAGCAGCCAAGCAGTAGCCAAATCCGCAGCGCCTGTGCGCGTGGGTGAGGTGCGTGCACGCTACCTGGAGCCGAGAAAACCGCGCGCAGTTAGTGCCGGGAACAGCACGAAGGGTCCCATACGCAGCGCTACCAGCTCCAATATACCGGCAGCCCGGAAGGCGCAGGCCAAGAATCTGCACATCTCTTCCAGCGACAGTTCGCGGAACTCCAGTCCGGCGGCAATACGACGTGCGGCTAATGGCACGCGGCTGGGCAACAAGTCGAGCAACTTGTCCACGGACAGTTTGGCCAAGAGCGGTTCACGTGAACGCTACTCATCCGATCTGAATGTGGACTCGCTGGCGGAGAGCATGAAGAGCTCGGTCATAACCAATAAAACGATCTCACACGAATCGCTGTCGAGCAGCTCCAAGCTGGCGCGCGTGCAGCAGCTCAACGGACATGGAGGAGGCGGAGGCGGAGCAGCCAAGCAGTCGGCTCCACTGAGGGGCATACAGCGCGGCACAACGCTGGCCAACAAGTCGACGCGTCAGCTCAAGCAGCAGCACAATGCGGCCGCAACGGGCGCCTCGAACGGGTCCAGTCCCAGTTCAGTGCACACCACCAAATCGGCCACGAGTCGCCTGTCCTCGGTCAGCAGCACTTTGTCCACGCGGGAGCTGTTCAAGCAACGTTCCATATCGGTGCCGGCGGGCGGTGAGGCGCCAGCCAAGGGCCGACACAGTTTCCTATCAGCCAAGTCGCGCGAGATACTCGCCAAGCGCGCCGAGAAGAACAAGCTACAGCAACAACAACAACAACAACAGCAGCAGCAACAACAGCAGCGGCAACAGCTCAGCTCTGGGGAAACGCAATTGCGTGCCTCGGCCGGGCCACTGCGCTCCTCCTCCCATTCCGCCGTCAGCAGCATGCTGCAGCAGCACAATTTGCGCAACAGTCTGCCCTCCAATATACCCACACGACGTCCCAATACGCTGCAGCTGCGCAAAACCACAACAGCTGCGACCAACGGCTATGCGGCACCCGCAGCACCTGGCCACAGGCCGAACACAAACGGCGTCTTGAATGGCGGCTATAAGGCTGCCCAGGCGGTTAAACAGAAACTGGATTTGCTCATCGATGCACAGCTGGAGAGCGGCAACAATGGGCAGCGCGTCGAGTCCAAGCTGGAGCGTTCCAGCACATTTTGCAAGGACAGCGCCGACTTGGACTTAAATGTCCCCGAACTGCAGATTGTGGAGTAAATATACGAACGGTGAGCAGGTCGACGGAACTCGTTAAATGTTTCTAGCTGAAAAAACGAAATTATTGATAAATATACACATATGTGTGTAATTTATGCAAAATCATTTTTCTGTGCTCATCTTCATTGCAACATAAATGGCAAATTCTACGAAATAGGGCAACGCCACGTCCATAAGTTGACAGTTCAGGTGCAAGAGTGGCCAGACTGTTCAATAAACGTCATTGCAGTTTCTGCAATGCACATGCAGCTAACATGAACGATATATAAAAGCTCATGTTAACTTTGCCATGATGTTGCCAGTAGCAGCTAGTCTCATTATTATTTTATGAATTACAAGCAGCATTAATTTCAAGTATTCTCTGCATTCACAGGTCCATATCAAATATGAGCCGAGCGAAACAACCCGTACACGTCCCATAAGGCAACTCTAGTCAATAATAGCATGTAGTTGCAGGCACAGGAAAACATTAACAATAAATCAATAATCAATAGAGAGAAGAGAAGAAATAATAAAGAAAAAAACATGTTACTACAAAGCAAAAAGATGCACCCACTAAAATTATAGCAGTTATATACACAATTACAACATAAACTTATTGTCGTTAAACAAAACCTCCCCCCCTACCCCCCACAAAAGAAAAAATATTAAACATATTTGAACACTTATAGTAAAGAATTGTATGCCAGGAAAAGTCAAAGCAATGTCAAAAAGATAAAGAAAATTTGGTGATATTATTTAATGTGCGCTTGCTTTTTATTTTGTTCTTCCTATTACGCTGCAATCTGTGTGCTTCGAGTACTCGTATAAACTATATAAAAAGAATACTATACAAATATATTTATGTGCTTTGCCAGCTGCATTTAAGTAGTTTCTGCGCTGCGGCTTATAAACCTATTGTTAACAATTGATACCCTCTCTCTAGCCCTCCTACTCTTAAATACTTTAAGCCATGCGATTTTTTATACTGTTCTTTATTTGAATTTTTAAACGTAATCGGGCGCGCAACCAAGAACATTTTTTTTAATTTATTCATTTTAATTCTATATATATATTCATATATATAGAAAAAAACAGAAACAAAGAAATGTATTTTGTAAGCGAATCGACATTGATATATTGATAATGGAGTGCAAGTTTAATAAATGTGTGTATTTATTAAAAGTTATATATATATATATATGTAAAATTGTGTTCTCATTTTATTTATAAATGCATAATACTAAGCATGTGTATAAAAACAATGCGCAAACACAAATTTGAATGTGCGCGCCATTTTGTCTGTACCAAATTCCAGTGTTCCAAATGTTATTTGTATTTTTGTGACAGCTGGCAACGCTGCGCGTGCGTGCCAAACAGCTGATCGGCGATTGTGTTTTATTAGCTACTTTTATTGTTGTTTTTTTTTTTTAGTTAATACCTACAAGTGCGACTACTAAGTACAGTTACTACGTGGGCGAGTTTTGCAGCGAACGCGCCCACTCGGTAAACACATTGCGACAATGTATGACAACGCACTCATTACTGCAATATTCGTCCTCCCAATCAGGATTTATTATCGCTGGCTTATTGCATTGTTCGCGCGTACATTTTTGCACGGCCGCCGCTTCCGTTAGCAGCTGTATGTGATCCGATGGCGGCGGCGGCAGCGGCGCTTGCGCCACTGCAGGCTCTGCGGCGTCGGCGGCAACTGCTGCTGCTACTGGCGGCTCCTCTTTGCTGGGCAAACTTTCGGCCGGCGTCGGCTGCTCTGCGGGCGGCTGTTGTTGCTGGGCTTCAGTGGCAGCTGAAGCTGCCTCGACTTGCTGCTGGTTGCGCTGATAATCGCGCAGCTGTCGCACATATTCGCGCTTCTCCAGCTCGTGCCGCTGATCGTAGACGTTCTTCTGCTTCTCGTCCATCGACTCCCACATGTTGAGCGCTATGGCCGTGATCTGCTCCAGTGTGCAGGCGGGATTCTGTTGCTTGATGGCCGTCATGGTGTCGCGAAAGAAGAGCGCGTACGGCGCCAGCGGCTTGGCGGGCGCCTGTTGTGGCAGCAGCTGCTGCTGCTGCTGTTGATTTGTTGTCATCTGGTTGCTGGCGTAGCTGCTGGGCGTATCGTAGTCCATGTGCTCCTCCTCGTCGTCGTCAACCAGCGTGGAGTGATCCAGGCTGCTTAGCCTACTTATTCGCCGTGACTGCAATGAAAAAACGCCAATTGTAAGACACATTCAAGTTTTTATTAACAAACTAATATTCGGGCATTTATATATGTATGTATATAGTCGGGGCGGCTCACTAGCAACTTCTTCATCTGGGCGGCGGCTGTTGAATTATAAATCAAATGACAAGCAAACTAAATGTATTTAATCGCCTCGCGTCCCAGCTACTACTCTATATTAGACAAAACGTATGTACGAACGCAGTGTACGTATATTTGTACATGTGCTCTGTGCATAACACGTACGGCTCTATGGAGGCGCATATGGTTGTTGGGGCGCGGAGAGAGACGCGGCAGACGCGTTGCGTCCACACAACCTGCTGATTGAGTGTGCGTGCGTGTGTGTGGCTGTGTGTGTGTTTGTTTGTTTGTGTATATGTATATGTTTGTGTGCGTGTTGTTTGTTGATAAGCGTTTGCGATGCCTTTTGCTGTTAATTGTTGTTGCTTTGTATCGATAACCCTCATGCGCTTACTGATGCCATCATCTAGGGCTGGCGGGCACACTAAACATACACACACACACACACGCACGCACACACACTCGCACACGCACACAAACTAATACAAATCCAAGAGAAGCGCAGCTCCACTTGAACGCTTCCAATTGGGCTCTTTTTGAACTATTATAAAACGATTATGAAAGCTGGTATCCAGTTGCGAGCCCCTTCATTAATGCATGTACTCAGCTGGAAAAGCATTCGATTCTGTTCAATCCAGTAAAATTCACTTAAACTATCAGTTTGTTGTGGCAGCCCGACATCGTTGGCTCCTGCCGCCGGCTCTGGCTATTGAAGTATGCGACAATCTTGAATGATTTTATTCAGAAGTAGATAAGTTAACAATAAAGTATTAAACACAAGCCTTAGAACCTTTCAAAAAAAAAAAAACCAAACTATTACAAAAAAACAACGCAACCGCAGCAACTGTTATATTTACAAAACGACGCGCACTTTGTTTGGCAGCCCCTACGTCTCGCCCATCTGGACTAGGGGGCAGCTCCTAGATCCTGGTCGAGCTCTTGAACTTACAGCAGTTTGTTGTTGTGTCTGATCCACGGGGGTTTCATTCATCTCGAACACTTCGTCACCGAATGAGGGTGTGTGGAATTGATTCATAGCTGCGTCAATTGTTTCAGTTTTGTGTTTATATATATACAAATAATAAACAAATATATTTTGTACCCAGCGTGGACTTTTGTGTCGTCCAGTTGCAGTGTTTTGTAAGTGTTGGGCAACTGCATCTGCCAGTTTTTGCCAGCACTTATTTTGTGACAGTATGACCAACATGTCGTAAAATACTTAATACCATATGGACAGCAACAGTTGCCGCACAATCGTTGTACAGTACTGTTGCGTGCGTTTTGCAGCACTCAAAACGTTTAACCGTTAAAATAGTAGGCCTTTTATTGGGCTTAATTTTTTTTGGCAACTAAATTTTAAGGAAAAATAATAACAAAGAGATATGTCTGCTTATACAAAATTCAAAATTGTTTCAATGCTCTCATTTTCAGGGCCACGAGTTCAACGTTTCAGCACAGGTTGTCAAAATGATGGGGGTGCAAGGAAAGACGCCGACAAAAATGAGTCCAACCTGAAAACAGAAATCAAATTCGATGCTTTTAAATTGTCCAAGGATAAGGTCAAAGGAAATTGTTTTGTTAGCGACGCCAATGCAAATTATATGGAATATCTCTTCTCGAAATGGATTAAGGACCCCAATTCTGTACATAAGGTAAAATGAAAATTTTAATACCCTTTCATAAACTATGTATACAGTGTATGCGTTTCTATGACAGTCCTGGCAGCTATATTTTAATGACGTTTTGCAAAGTAAGAATGTAGGGAAAATAGAAAGTTTTTCGCGCACAGCAACTCAGAATCTAGATACTCTGCCCGAGAACTGTGCCTCATTTGATGCAGCGCTAGAAAAATTGGGTGACGTCGATTTTTATGATCTGTGCGCCAAACTGGAGTTAGCCAAGGCAGCGAAATCTGTTAAGGATACTCAAAATGCCGTTGAAACAACAATTGTTGGAAGTTTAACCGATTCCGTTGAAAAAACAGCTCAGAAAGAAAAATCAGTAGACTTAACCGATTCCGTTGGAGTAACTACTCCGAAGGAAGGATCTGGCAGTTCAACCGATTCTGTTGAAATAATTGATCAGAAAGAAAAATCGAATAGTTCAAACGATTCAGCTGAAATGACTTCGAAGCCGCCCGCGCAAGAGAAAAACTACGTGATTGGAACTATAATATTAAGTCCAACTACCGAAGATATGCCTGTCTCCCAAAATGTAAAAGAGGAAGCCAAGAAACCGAAACACAGAGATAGTTTAAAGATCATAGCCAAGCCCAAGCGACAGCAACCAAACAAAACGACTTCCAAGAAAGACAAAATTGAACCGAAGAAACCAGTTGAGCTGGCCGAGCATCTGCGGGCTGTGGAACGTGTTAAGGAGGCTTTGAAGGAGAAACCCTTTTGTACGCGACGAGATTTTATCAAATCGCAGCTGGAACGCATTGAAAAGATGAAGGGTCACAAGTCCTTGGACCGAAAGAAGCCCGAAGAAATTGTCAAAATTATAGCGAAGAGTCCAAAGCCAGAGGAGAAGCCACGCAAATAGAAACTTGACGGTATTCAATATATTTCGAATCTCGGCATGCTCTGTGGAAAACTTAATACTTCAAATAGATGTAAAAATAGTAAAATTCTCTGACAAATAAAAATTGATTTACATTTTAAAACGCAAATAATTCATATAGTTTATCATGTAATTCAGAGAAAGCATAAAAAAAAAAGCAAAAGAAAAATACGGAAAAGTTGCCAATCAAAATTAAAAATTTTCTTCAAAATTAGCGTGAAGTTTTAAAAGTAGCTTTATACTGCGGGTGCGCAGCCATGAATCCCAGCCAAGGCCGTCTCGGACAAACAATATTGGCCCAGAGCCTGCGGCACGAATACACGCGCTATAATGCGGCACAGCGGGCGCTGCTAATAGCCAAAAAGCAGTATTCAAAAAAAAAGGGAACCACCGATGAAGCCGACAGTTTGGCCAACGGCGGCAATGCCATTTACATTGACAAATTGTATTCGAAGTGGTCCAAGGATCCCGGCTCCGTGGATCAGGTAAGCGGCCAAGTTCAGTCAAGTCAAGATTATAATTGGATTTGTTTTGCAGTCCTGGGATGCCTACTTCAGTGGCAAGCCACGCAGCATATCGTCGGCACGTCAGCGTCAGCCCAAGAAACGTAAATGGCAACCAACCTCAGTGGCAGAACGTGCCGGATCTACTGCTCCGACTCCTGCTCCGGAGGCCGACTGGAAGTACATAGACGATCATTTGGTCGTACAGGCCATTATTAGAGCCTACCAGACGCGCGGTCATCTGGCCGCTGATTTGGATCCGTTGGGCATTGTGGGACCAACTGGCCATTCCCTCGCCACGGATGACAAGAAGATGCAGGCCGCGAGGGCTGTGCTGCGACAGCATTATTCCTACATCTTCAGTAAGATTTACCTTAGAGATTTAGAGATTTCCGGATAATAATCTGATCCCCTCTCCACACACAGATGATTTGAATGCCCTGTTCAAGCTACCCAAGTCCACGTTGATTGGCGGCGACGAGCAGTTCCTGCCGCTTCGGTAAGTGCCTCAGATTTATGGTATTATCTTATCTATATCTATCTATAATCTTCGCAGAGAAATTCTGGATCGCTTGGAACGGGTCTATTGCGGTCATATTGGTGTGGAGTACATGATGATAACGTCGATCTTTAAGAGCAACTGGATACGCCAGCACTTTGAGAAGCCCGGCGTGATCAACTTCAAGCCCGAAGAGAAGAAACTGATCCTTGAGCGTCTAACACGCTCCACGGGCTTTGAGAACTTTTTGGCTAAAAAATTCAGCTCCGAGAAGCGCTTCGGACTGGAGGGTTGCGATATTATGATACCCGTCATGAAGGAGATTATCGATCAGTCGAACAAGTGTGGCGTCGAGTCCGTCCTCATTGGCATGGCGCATCGCGGACGTCTGAATGTCTTGGCCAATGTCTGTCGCAAGCCGATGAAGGAGATTCTATCCCAGTTTCATGGCCTGAAAGCCACCGACTCGGGCTCCGGTGATGTCAAATACCATTTGGGTCTGTTTACGGAGCGCCTGAATCGGCAGTCCAATAAGAACGTGCGCATCACCGTTGTGGCCAATCCGTCGCATCTGGAGTTCGTTAATCCGGTGGTGCTGGGCAAGGCACGCGCCGAGATGTTCCTGCGCGGTGACTATCAGGGCAATAAGGTTCTGCCCATGCTGATACACGGCGATGCGTCGTTCTGCGGCCAGGGCGTTGTCTACGAGTCCATACACATGTCCGATCTGCCGTCGTACACCACGCACGGAACAATTCATGTCGTGTCCAACAATCAGGTGGGCTTCACCACAGATCCGCGCTTCTCCCGCTCCTCCCGCTACTGCACGGATGTTGCTCGCGTTGTCAACGCGCCCATATTCCATGTGAATGCCGACGATCCGGAGGCGTGCGTGCACTGCGCCCGTGTTGCTGCACTTTGGCGGGCGAAATTCCACAAGGATGTGGTCATTGATATTGTCGGCTATCGCCGCAATGGCCACAACGAGGCCGACGAGCCGATGTTCACCCAGCCTCTCATGTACCAGCGCATACGCAAGCTCAAGAACTGCACGGTGCAGTATGCGGAGAAGCTCACCCGGGATGGGGTTATCAAAATGGACGAATACACGGAAATGGTCAAGAAGTATGATACTATCTGCAATGAGGCCTTCGAAGAGTCCAAGAAGATAAAAACATTTAAGGTCAGTCGAACTAACCAAGCTCGGAGCTGATAAATATTTTAACTGCCATTGTTAATGTCTTGCAGAATTCCCATTGGCTGGATTCCCCTTGGCCCGGCTATTTCCAGGGCCGAGATCGTCTAAGGGTGTGTCCAACGGGAGTTAACATGAAAATTCTACAGCATATTGGCGAAATATATTCCTCGCCGCCGCCACCTGAACATAAGTTCGAAGTGCACAAGTAAGTTATATAGTAAAAAAGAAGAAATTACCCGGCGATGCCCGGGTAAAAACCACGCTACTTTTAAACAGACGCCGAGCCACTCAAATTTCTTTGCTTTTCTCTCTAATCAGCAAATAATTAATAATTATTGCTGAATTTGAGCCGGCGACTTCTCGTTTGCTGGTTCGTCGCTCAAATAGCTTGGACTGTGAGTTAATTATAACTCAGTCAGGACAAATCCATCTATAATTTTTTATCATTCAAATGGACTTTCTTTTTCTTCAGAGGCATCCTGCGTATTTTGGGCCTGCGCAAGAACATGATTAAGGAGAAGGTAGCCGATTGGTCGCTGGGCGAGGCATTTGCCATTGGCTCGCTGGTTAAGGATGGCATACATGTGCGCATATCCGGGCAGGATGTGGAGCGCGGCACCTTCTCGCATCGTCATCATGTGCTGCACCATCAGACAAAGGACAAAGCGTGCTACAATTCGCTGCAGCATCTGTATCCCGATCAGGCGCCCTACGATGTCTGCAACAGCTCGTTGTCGGAGTGCGCCATCTTGGGCTTCGAAATGGGCTATTCGATGGCCAATCCCAACACCCTGGTCATCTGGGAGGCGCAGTTCGGCGACTTCGCCAACACCGCCCAGCCCATCATAGACACCTTCTTGGCCAGCGGCGAGACCAAATGGGTGCGTCAATCCGGCCTGTGTGTGTTCCTGCCCCACAGCATGGAGGGCATGGGCCCTGAGCATTCGTCCGGTCGCATCGAACGCTTTCTACAACTCAGCGATGATGATCCCGATTGCTTTCCGGACATGTGCGACTCGGATCATGTGGCCCGCCAGCTGATGAACGTCAATTGGATTGTGACCAATCTGACGACGCCAGCGAATCTCTTCCATGCACTGCGGCGTCAGGTGGCCATGGGTTTCCGCAAGCCTCTAATCAATTTCTCACCCAAATCTCTGCTGCGTCATCCAAAGGCGCGCAGTCCTTTCCGTGACTTCAACGAGTGCAGCGCGTTCCAGCGCGTCATACCCGACACGGGTAACGCCTCCCAATGCCCGGAAATCGTCAAACAGTTGGTTTTCTGCACGGGCAAAGTATACTACGATCTGCTCAAGGAGCGCGAGGATCACCAGCAGGAACAAACTTGCGCCCTCGTGCGCGTGGAGCAGGTAACTTGGCTTGGAACAAAATCAATTAAATAATATATTAATTATTAATTAATTACAGATCTGCCCGTTTCCCTATGATCTGGTCTTGGAGCAGGTTAAAAAGTATGAAAAAGCAGAGCTCGTCTGGTTTCAGGAGGAGCACAAGAACCAAGGCGCCTGGAGCTATGTCCAGCCGCGCTTCGACACAACCCTTCTGCAGATGGAGGCCGACAAGTAAGTGTGACTTTTCAGTGCTTTAGCAGCTCGTATTTCACTTGTATAACAGGGTTGTCACCTCCCATTTGCCAACGATTTGGCAATCATTTTCTTTGGTTTATCCGAACGTTTCTCTAAATGCCAAGGCGCAATGCCAGGCCTTGGTCTACTGCCACGCCGCCAAATGATTCAGGTGCGACGCGCCTTCAAATTGTCAATTGATGAACGATTCTCGGCGTTGTCGGTGACGACTTTTTTTGCCAGCGCCAAAACGCTTGCCATGATTCAAAATGGCGTCGGGCCACATGACGCCATATCGGGCAGCGGTTGACACCAAAACCAACTATTAGCTGATTTTTTCACTTTAATCGATTTTCGAATAAGAAAACCCCAAAAGCGAAACGTGTGCCAAGCAACGTCCGTCGCCCCCAAAAACAGCGCGAGAATCCTCCGGCAAAGCCGACTAGCCATATACCCTGTAAATAGATATGAACAAAGCGAGTACTTGATTTGGTGATCGTTGGATTATCATACTATATGGCATTTTGTTTAATTGCGAGTTCTGAATGAACTTATAATGTAAAGAAATCTATAGAATTTTCTTATGAAAACTTCCAAAGCGTTTTACGTGGATGTTCATACTACTGATATTCAGCTTTACTTGAAGCAAACTTTTTGTGAGGTAGCTTAATGAGAACTTCGATACTAAATTTTGTCTAACTTATTCCCTGAGATTGAATAGAATGCAGTTTGCAGATTGAATAGAATGCATCTACAGAAATTTTCTATAAAAGATCTCGAATCGCATTACGTGGATTATACTATTGGATTATAGCTTAAATTAACTGATAGTTCCAAGTTTAAAGAAAACTTTTTGGGAGTTAACTTGATGGGAACTTGGATATTACATTTCGCGTAAGTTATTCATATAGTCTGAGATCGAATAGAATAAACATATAACATCAGGAAGTCCATAGATAGCATATTTCTTTAAATCGTAGATTATCTTACTATTGGATTTTGCCTATTAAATTCCCCGAATCCCTTACTTATAGAATGGACTTTGGCAAAAACAGTAGAAACGTTCTCTGAAGACTTTCTTAAACAGAAACACAATTTAATTTGCATATAATATTACGCCCGTGCCATACTCTCCCCAATCTTGAATATACCCCACTGACATGTTCAGTATTTACAGGGCATACACGAAAAAAAAAACGCTTGAAGGCTAATCTCGCTGCTCCTCCCATTAGATTTATAGAGAATGCGCGTATTTCGTAAACATTTGAAAATATTTCACGTCAGATTAATGTTTGGCCTTTCTTCGAGTGATCTTTTGGAAAGTTTTTTCTCATTTTTTTTTTTGTTAAATATATTTGGATTTGACCTTGCGAAAGTTCACGTGTTGATTCAACGTTATTTCCTTGATTTCAGCTGAGTAAATGAGGAGAGAAATGTTGATTCTCTGTGATTGCGATTAATGGCAGCATGTTGGCCATTTGAAGGCTCCAATAATTATTTTCAATTTGGTTTTTGCGTTGTTAGTAATTAGCCTGGCCTCGCTCTCAGCTATGCACTTTGAGCAAATTGCGAGACAGCCATCTCGATGTGGCTGTGGCTGTGGATGTGGATGTCCATGTCGCTGTCGCATGAAACTAGCGCAAGGAACTTGGCACAGTTTTTAGTCGGCGTTTGATACTAAACAACGCCCCCGCCCCCATACAACCCTCCCCCCTCTTCTATGTGTAGTTTCGGCCCGGTTTTTATATTGAATTTAGCATTTGTGCCGTTGCCATTTCTTGTTGAATTCGACATTAAATTTTAATGTGGCGACATATACATACAATATATATATATATTTATCGCCTATGTGCTAGTCGTCCTGCTAATAGCGCGCCCGAGTGGCTCGCTAAATTTGTGCGCTGATTTATGGAAATATTTTGTGGTCCCCAGAAAGTGCCACAAAGTTGTTTCCCTAAACATACGAAGGCCTCGTGCGGCACATTTCGCACTGCAGACAATTCAAGAAGAAGACAAAAACAAAACTAAATCTAAACATTTCGACATTTTTCTAAATATTATTAACAATTTCAACTTTGATCAGGCAAAAATTTTAGGATAAATTTTGAAATTATTGTATGGATCCAGGTTTTTTCTTCCAACCATTCTTCGCCTATTAAGAACTGTATTTACAGATATTGTATATGGAATATATATATATATTGATTGTATATATTGATATGGAAACTGATGAAAAACATAAAGAAGTAATCGTTGAAATATCCATTTTATAGAGTAGAACTTAGAATTGATTCAATTTGTCGAAACATTTATCAAGTGAATTTTCATAATCCTTGGATATGAGTTTGAATCCGAAAAGTGGCCCAACTAATCTTTGATTCCCATTTTCCACCACAAATTGGTGGATTTTGCGAAAAGTGTGAAAATCTCATGTGATTTTTCACAAAGATCTTTGAAACTGAGTTAAAGGCCCTTCGGATGATAAACAAATAAGTTTCATAGCACCGTTTTCCGCGAATATTTCACACTTGCGGGTGGAATTTTGAAAATAGCTCAAACACTTATTTATTATGTCGGGCTTTTGAAACTAATTTTGAAGACGATGCTTTCATTACCCATGAGCCAGTTTATCAGAACAAATAGTTATATGTTTTGAGCTGAAAGAACATTTCTTTAATTTAAGCATAATATCAATAACTTACATCCCAAGCGAGAAGCATTCACATAGTTTTCATCTAGATATGATTTTCAATGTGCATGAAATTGTGCATGTCCCTGTTTATAATTCATTTATGCATTAAACATATGTATATGCATATTTATATATATATTCCTAATCGCGTCTGCTCGATGTTGCCAGCCATCAAAATTGAATGAAAAGCGCCGGGCACACAAAGATGCGCTGTTAAATCCCAGGAATGTAGCATATTTGCTAGACTATGCCACAAATAAGTACCATCATATGTATATGGCACATGAGTACTATATATACTATATATATGTATATATAATAGATGTGTATGTATTTTCATGTGTTTTTCTTTGTTGTTTGTTGTTGTCAGCGCAAATGAAATGTTTTCATGTACCAAAGGCAAGGCAATAATTTTGAGGGATTTCTCTACCAAAAAGCCCCAAGCGACGCCTTGGCAATCAATTATGAGATGTGCCCCCCGCTCTCTCCTCTCCCCCCTCCACTGATTCCTCAACGAAAGGCAAACAATTTGTGTAGCTTTTGTTTTTTCTAAAGTGTCTCGATTTTTGGTTTAATGCATTACGCCAAAGTTTTATTAATGACACGCATTTCTCTGCCACATCTCAGGGATGCGAGCGCCGACGTTGATGGAGTGGGCGAAAGATTTTCCGATTTTCTGTTCGTTAGTGTATATAGATAAGATATGCCAGAGCTGGCCAGAGAGCTATATGGCCTGAGGCCTATTTATAAAACACGACCCTGTGGGCGACAAGTGCAAAAAGCAGGGGCAAAAGGCAGGGAGAACCACGGGCACAGGTCAGAGATCTGTTGTTCGTCTGGCCTGGGTTTTTCGATTTTATTCATTCATTTCAATATATGATGTTATATATACACACACAGCTGCAGAATCTATAAATATATATTGAATAACAGGGCGGGGAGAGCGGCGGGCGCTAAGGGTAACGTAGAAAGCAATACGAAAAGAAAAATAAAGCACAACTTTGATATAAACAAATTCATAAAAATTTTATGAGTAATTGTATTCAAAATTCTTGCTGATGATGATCGCAATGTGATGATGTAAATAATACGAAATGCGCATAGTTGAAATATTTGGTTCTCTTTATTTAACATTTGATTTCATTGTTTGTTTGTTTTTTTTTTTTTATAAATATATTTTATGGTTTTTGCTTAAATGGTAAACTAAACTTTTAAACGAAAGGCAACGTGAAATTTTATAACAAATTCGTTACTGTTGAGCGACACGCTCGCTACTCGCGACTCGTTACTCGCTACTCGCCACTCGTTACTTTGCAGCGAGCAATAACAGTTGAACGAGTCGCTCTGAATCCTTGGAATAATTTACGTACATACAATATTAGAACTAACACTAGGATATAGAGCTAAACTAAAGATACATATACACATATATTTACAGGTTATATAAAACTAGCTAGAGACAAACACTAAAAGTTAACTGAATGTCATGCCTGAGATCCTTAAAAAAATTCCATTGTTGCGTGAACAAACCAAAAATTTTTCTAATTCCACTCAAAACTCTTTGGGGCTAAGCTACGCTGTCAAAAGGGCGAACGAACACAATCCGGAGGACACACTTACACAGATTTATTGGCTCTTGCTGCTCCAATTTGGGGCGTCTTTTATGGCTTAGACCATATTCCAGATGCTGTAGCTGCGCGCGCGTCGCTCCTCCTCCACCACCTGCTCGTAGTCAATGTCCAGATACTCTTTGCCCACGAACTTCACCTTGCGTCCCGTGTACTTCTTGATGTAGCTGATGTGGGCGGGCACCTCCTTGCCCTCGATGTCGAGCTTGTACGAAATGCTGGTGATGCGCTCCAGGATGCGACCACGCTTCCAGCGCACCTGCGTCTTGCGATAACGTTCCGCATAGAGCACCAGATCGCCGATTTTATATTCACGAACATGCAGGCAGGATTTCAGCGGCTTCGGTGGCTCCTTTTCCAGCGGCTCTGGTTCGGCGTCCGCCTCATCATCGGTCACATAGGCGATGGCCTTCTCGATTGTCTCGATCTCGTCCAGCTTGGGCTCCGGCTCCGGCTCCTGCTGTATGAAGAATGTGTCGCCAATGGAGAGTCGTCGCTTCTGCCGCTTGATAATCACCTTCTTCTTGATCTGTCGCGGCTTTTTGGCTGCTGGCGCCGTCGGAGTTTCCGCTGCTGCCTTGTCCGCTTCCGTTTCCGGCTCGAGTTGCGTTTCATTCGAGATTTCTGTATCTGTAGCATTTTCCTGCTGCTCTGTGGTTGTTGCTGCCGCCTGCTCCTTGCTTGCCTTGCTCTGCTTCTTGGGCGGCGTTTGCTTGTTGAGCCGATTCGCTAGATCCCCGATCTTGTTCTTATCCTTGAGTATGTTGTTCAGCTTGACCGAATCGCCCGACTGGCTCAGCTTCTCCTTGCCCTTGTCTATCGAACTCTTGCGCACCAGTTTCTTAAGATGCGGCGACCGCTTTTTGGCCACCACCAAATCGGTTTCATCATGCGGCTGCTCAACCGTCTCAATCTTGACGGGCTGCACCGGACCCGCAACTACTTTCAGCTCCGGCATGGCGGCTAGACTGTTGTTGGGCGGCGCCTGTGCGTTGTCTTTTGTAGCTGCAGGTATCAATTGTTGTTGTAGTTGTTGCTCTTGTTGTTCGTGTTGTTGTTGTTGCTGTGGCGATGACTCTTCGTGCGACACTTCGCTCAATGTCGCTGCTATTTGTGGCGTCGCGTCGACGACTGCAACATCAACGGGGGCGTCCTCAATGTCAACGCCGACAACCACCTGTTGGGGCAGGCTAATTAACTGATTAATGGGTTCTTTGGACTGGCTCTGGACTGCACTTGAAGCTGTCGCTGCTGCTCCTACTATTGCTGTTGCTGCTGCTGATGTGGCTCCTGCTGCTGCTGCGGGCACCACCAGCACCGTTTCACCCACCAATTCGGCTAGTTTCAGGCTGGCGCGTCTGCTTTGCTCGATGCCTGTTGCTCGATTGCTTTCAAATCCATCGATTGGCAATTGTTTTGGCGCCGCTTGCGATGTTGCCGCTGTCGCCTCTGCTCCTCCTGGCAACGTCTCGGCGCTTTTGGCAGTTGGCTTCGTTACGCTTTTGGCAGTGTCTGCGTGGCTGTTGTTGACCTTTGCAGCTACAAGTTGTTCATTTGTTGTCGTTGTTGTCGCCTGTTGCGGTTGTGGCCGAGCTGCTGTCGCCGAGCTCTCATTGCTGCCGGAAGCTGTTGCGCTGCTCATTAATCTCTGCTTCTTCTTGCGCTTGACAATCGCTTCCGAGTCGGAGGGTCGCCTTTGTATCAGTGCATCGATCGGCACTGGCTCCGGCTTAATCTTGGATGGCTCCACGGCAGCAATCGATGCACGTCGTGGATTCCTCACCTTAACAATGATTTTCTTTTTAGTTGCCGTTGCGCTCTTGGGCTCGTCTCTGACGCTTGCCGGCTGCGTTGCGGACTCAGCTGGAAGAGCTGCTGCTGTTGGGCAGGTTGCCTCCACGCCCTCCACAGGCTGCTGCTGCGGCTGCTCTTGTGTAATAGATCCATTCCCCATCTCTTTGATAGCTGTTGCCGTTTCCGTTTCCGCTTCCTTGGGCTGCATTTCGACAGCTGTTGCTGTTGTGTCTGCATCCTTGCTTGCTGTTGCTTTCTTGGATTGCTCTCTTATGTCTGCTGCTTCTGTGGCTGCCTCTCTAGACTTCTCCTGGGGCTGCTCCTTGGCTGATGTTGCTGTTGTGTCTGCCTCCTTGGGCTCCGCTTTGACTTGCTCTTTGTGCTTGGGCTTTGACTTGAGTTCGCTTTGGACCTTTGCCAGGAACTCCAATTTGGCTTGTATTTTTGCATTTTCTGTTGCTTTTGGTTTAAGATCTCCACTGGCAGCTGTTATATGCTGCTCCTGCTGCTGCTTCTCATTAACCTTGCTCTCTGGAGTCACTTCTGTTGGCTTTCTAAGCTCCTCCTCTCTTGTTGTAGCTGCCACAGCTGCAATTTCTTCTTTGACCTGTGCCTGCTGCTCAATCGCTTTGCTTGAAGCTGCATCCTTTGCTTGCATCAGCTCACGCTCCTTGTCCTCGTCTGCTTCGTTGAAGTAGCTGCGCCTGCGAACTTTCTTTATAAAACGAAATTGCACTGGCTCCGCCGCCGTCGCCTCCGCTCCCGCCGTTGGCGTTGCCGCTCCCGCCGTTGGCGTTGCCGCTGGCGCTGGCGGTCCGAGCCACTTCTCGCCGGCCGCCTCGGCTTCGCTCTCCGTGCTGTACTGCTTGAGCACGCCCTTGACCTCGTTGAGAGCGCCCGATATGCGCGCCTTCAACTTGTTCAGACGCTCGATCACATCCTCCGGCTTCTCCTCGACCGACTCCTGCGAGCGCATGCGTCGCTGGCGTCGCAAACGCGTGCGTTCCGGCAGCAGCGAATCCACATCAATTGAGATGTCGTCACGTGATGTGGAGCTGCGCTTTATATCGCCCAGCAGCGGACGCGATGTGGCTGCCGTTGGCACACTTCCAGCCATATCACGTATACGACTCGTTAGCCCGACGACGGGAGCAACTGTTGCTGCTGTTGCTGGCGTTGCTGTTGCAATTGCTGCTGCTGTTGCTGCTGCTGTGCTGGACAGACGACTCGATAGAGTTTCTGGCAAGCGAGCTGTGCTCTTCAGTAGCTCATACTTCATGTCGCCTCCTTGATTGCCGAAGTTTCCGTTGTTGCTGCTGTTGCTTTCATCCAGCTCCGCTGGCTGCTGTTCGATTTGCTCGCTAAAAATGTCAGCAGCTGCGGCTGTTGTTTCACTGTCGTCAGACACTTTGGTCAGAGTCATGTCCGCACCGCATTCACCGACCACCTGCTCAACCGACGGCTGTTGCTCGCTGCTCCAAAGGTTACCCGTGCTCCTCGTGGGCGTGCCAATCAACTGCTCAATCAGCTGCGCCAATAGATCTACCAAATCGAGATCCAAACGCGACAGACGATTGTCGCCCTCGTCTAGCAGAGCGCGTACCGCACACTTGAAGGACTCTATAGACGCTGACTCGTTTACGGCTGGGATGATTACGTCGTGTGGCGTCTGTTGCTGCTGCTTCTGCTGCTGCTGCTGCTGCTGCTGACCATCCACTTGCTCTGACGACGATTCGCGCGCGTCTGAGTGGCGCAGCGGTCGCTGCTGTCGATTGGAGGCGTTTGGCATCGCCATTGTTTGATTCTGCTGCTCAGTGGCTAAGCATATTGACTGCCGCTCTTTAGTCATATTTAGCTCATTATGAGCTGTTGCCGTCGCCTCTAATTTGTTGCTTTGCTCGCATACTTTGCGTTTATTTTTGGCAATATTCATGGCGTCGCCATTGTCGTTCTTATTGTTGTTATTGTTATTGTTGTTGTTGTCATGTCGCCACCCGAAGGCGTCATGAAAATTTTTCGCCTGTTGCTGCTCAATTTCCTTTTGGTCGCCAACGCCTTCGGCTTCCACGTTCAAGTTGAATGTTTGCTCGCCAGCGTTGAGTTCATTATCAAATACCGCCTTCTCTACATCATCATTATCATCGTGATGAATATCATCATTATCATTAACATTGACAGCATCAACAGGCAAAGGCATGTCTATTTTAGTGCTCATATTGTGGCTCGTCTGCGTCATTGTTGTTGTTGTTGTTGCTGTTGTCGCTTGTGTTGTTGGTGTGGGCACCACATCCGTTCGCAGCGCTGTTGTTGTTGCTGTTGCTGTTGTTGCTGTTGCCTCGTTTTCATTTCCATGCCCAGCATTGGGCAGCTCCTTACAGCTACGCTGATTATTGGGAAAGCTAACAAATTGTTTTTTAATTGTGGGAAATTCGTTAGGCATCGTCGACCTTGACGCAGCCACGGTTGGTCTGCTCTCCCACAACGTGCTTATTGATTGAGCTGCATAATTGAAATTCCTCTTGGTTAATTGGCATAGCAGAGGAAATCTGTGCGGCCGTGGCAAGTGAATCATTTGCTCGGGAAATCGATTAGGTATTGCTGCGATCGCTACGCTACCAATGGGTTGGGTATTATTCCTGGGCTGCTGCACTGGGAATTGTGGTGTGTTATGTGCGCATTCCATTTGCAGCAGAGGAAATTTTCCAGGCGCAGCCTTTGCAAATCTCGCCTGTTGCTGCGGCTGGCGCTGCGCTTGGGCTTGCGGCCTGTGGCACAGCAGCGCCCTCTGTAGTTGCTGCAGCGGAAATCGTTGCTCATCAATTGGCACTTCCGGCAGCGGGAAACCATTCACATTTGCTGTTGACAACATGGCTGACTCAGCCTTATGCTTTATGATGGCGTCAGGCAACATTTGCGAAATATGATTATTATTAGCGACCGCCCGCGCGTTTTTATTTTGATTGCTCTGTTGTTGACCTATTTTAGTTTCGATTTTAGCGTTATTTATTTTTCGAAATTCGCACACGCGCTGCAATTTGTTGCTGCATTCAAGATTAGGCTGCAACCCGAACTGGCGAAACGGGGCATCTTTCAACAAACAGCAAATAGCTAGACAAAAGTTGCCTTGCTGCATATACAAAGGCGAAATCAATGCGCTGCTCTCTACAAACATATATTTGCCAATTAATTTACATACGGATGTCTATCTCGTAATCAAAGTCGAACTTTGAATACACTGCGAAGAATCGTATGGTGCATAGGCACCCTAAATTATTTCTTTGTTTAGAATGGTTAGATTTTCGAAGTTTTTAAGTTATTTAATAGTCTTAAGTAACCTGTTGCAAGCGTTATCAGAACAATGAGTGTACCCTTGTTGGCCCTAGCAAAAGGGTTACAAACACAAACATCGCCAGCTCTCTCATGGCATTTAAAGCACATTGTGTCTGCAACTAAAACATATATATGCTCATATATATATATAGAGTGCACGTTCGATTATATAGACTATAGAATTGTGTCAGCTTGCCAAATTGTTTTTTGCAGACCACAAAAAAGAAAGATTGGCCAAGAGAGGAAATTAAAAAACCCCTCGTGCCAAACAGCGCGACAATCGCATTGTTCAAATAGACTTATATATGTAGAGGTATACAAATTATATAGTATGTATGTATGTATATGGGCACGAGTATTCGTATGTCACAATCTCTTGCCAAAATTTGCCGGCTGTTCTGCAGCAAGCGCAAACATAAATAACCAGAGCACAATTTGCTTTAGTTTTAATCCCTTGAAATAATTAAAACGCATTCAACCCACAGCCGTGGCATTACCTATCTCGGACGAGCACCAAACTCGGCCTCATCCACAGGGAACAAGGCGCAGCATTATACCGAATATAATGCTATAATGACTAGCCTCTTTGGCGAACTGACCGAGGAGAATAAGAAGCGCATTAAGGAGATTAAGGAGCAGGAGCAAAAAGCGGCAATCAAACAGTCCGAAGCTAGCTTGGTGAAAGCAAAACAGGCCAAAATGAAAGAGGACCCAAATAAGAAGGGCGAAAAGAAGGAGGGCGATAAGAAGGAGGGCGAAAAGAAGGAGGGCGGCCCAAAGGGGGATCAAAAGGCAGGTGCCAAGGGAGCGCCACCAGCACCAGCAGGAAAAGCTGAAACACCGAAACCGTCCGCAAAGGCGGCACCCGCTGCAGCAGCAGGGCCACCATCAAAAACTTCACCCTCTCCGGCACATAAATCCTCGGCAGCAGAGGCACGAGCAACGGCAGCGGCTCCATCACCAGCACGTAACCCTGGACAAGAAAGAGATTCAGGAAAGAAACCTAAATTAGCTCAAAAAGAAGTTGTACCGTCAGATAAATCAAAAGATGATAGAGAAGCACCCAAAAGAGCTGCTGACAGAGATAACAAGCAAGGTAAAGATGAAAATAAATCTTGTAAACGATCGAAAAAATCTGAAGATGAAGCGGCTCCCGATGATCCCACAAGCAGCCTGTAAAAATCTAAAGAGGTGAACAAAATTTCAGTCTTTCAGAATTTTGTTTACAAAAAAAAATCCAAGTATTGTATTAAAACTAAAATATAAAGTCTTTAGTTAATGACATCAACATGTGTACTTAAAGTATATATTCTCAGCTAACTGATATGATATAAATACAATTAACACTGCTTCCAATAATTGGGATTCTGCTCCATGCGCCTCTGGAAGTTTGTGTACCAGTTCTGGACAACGGAAAAAGGCACAAATGTTTCAGTTGTGGCGGGTGGTATCTCAGGCACGCCTACACAAAAGCTGGACGCATAATTAAAGAAGTTCTCCAACATACGTTGGCCAAATTGCTTGTTATCGTTGGCGCTGGACTGTGCAAGGGCAAAGTGTATATATTAGTGTTTATATTTCAAGTGTGGCATATATTTATGACTTACAACCGCCGGAGTTTGCTGTGCCACCGTCAATTCGGGCTCAATCGAAATGCCGATTTGTGCTATGTGCGAGATTTCCTGGGCGCCAAAAACCATGCCGTTTGCCGGCGTCTCCAGCTCGTGGCCCTTCTTAAGCTGCGCTATTTTAAATATCGCTGATGGTTTGTTGTTGTTTATGTGGCCCAGATATTGCCAGGTGGGTGCTGCATTCGCGTCCGGCCAACTGAAGTAGATGGCTGCTGCGGTGCCCAGGGGGAGGGGTGAGATGCCAGTTAAAAAAATAACAACATAATTGACTGCTTCAATGTCTGGCACATTTATCAATAGCTTGTTTTCATCTACCGCAACAAAATCGGTTTGGGGCTGTTTGGGTGGGTGTGTATTAGATTATCTTATAGTGTATACAATAACTCACCAGTCTACCGGAAATAATTAAACCAAACATTTTAGCCGGCTGCGTTCGTTTTTTCTAGAATAAATAAAGCCTTTGACATTCACAAGGCACGTCAACAGCCGTAAGCAGTATTTTTAAGTATTTCGATTCTCACGCGGCAAACCTGGCCACACTCAAGTGATATCGCAATACATCGCTTCAAATGCAATGTATCGATATTTTTAGCAGTCCCTACCAGAACATTAGAGTTTATTATTTGTTTTCGCGTAAAGTTATGGCCGGATTATTATACTTAAGTAAATTGTGCAGTAAAAAGAAGACGCTTACATACACTTTCCACATTGCATGCCACAAACAAACTTGGACACTACTACAAACGCGTGTGGTAAGTAAAATATATCACAGCAAAATTCAAGGCCATCTCGTGATATGCATAAATGGTCAGATTACGATTTCATAAGTTTGTTTAATGATAAGGGTTGGAATAGCATTCGCATTAATAGTTAAAACAGAACGACATCAAAGAGGTCAGGCAACAATTTGCGTGTGTGTTGTTTTGGCCCCTTTTCGCAATTAACTCAATGCACTAAGTACGTACGCACTTGCTTCTTTCGTTGCAGCAAGCCTAAAGCAAATCTCACATCCTAAAGCATTTACGGGCGCCAAAACAGCACACACGCAGAATGGGACGCACTCAGCGCCAACGACTTCGTCGCGCCCCACAACCAACAACCGAAACTAGCAATTCACTGCACGTGCTTTATGGCCAGCTGCACGCCTTGGGTTGGCGCAATCATAGTCAGCTTTCTGCACTTAATTTCCCCCAAACTGGACGCGGCTTGTGCTCCAAGCGTCTACGCTTTCAGGCTGGCGATGAGCTGATACGCCTGCCCGCCAGCTGTCTCATCAGCATAGCCACACTGGAGTCGGATGCGCAGTTTAAAGCGCTCTTCAATACGGATTTGTTTGACAAGGATTCGCGCTTGTCCTTCCAGGCGCTTGTCGCCTGCTATTTAATGCATCAACAGCATCTAAACGAGACCACACAGGGCTCGCCATGTTCTGCCTATCTGGACACGCTGCCAGGCAGCTATACGACGCCCTATTTCTGTGCCATGTCCGAGCTTCAGTGTCTGCCCGAGTCCGTGTTGGAGCGCACAGTGGCTCAAAATCGTCAGATACGCAATTATCACCAGTTGCTGAAGTGCCTGGTGGGCGCACAGCATTGTGAATGCTGTGGTCAGCGCTATTGCGAGGACATTTGGACTCTGGAGGAGTATCGACGCGCCTATTTTGCTGTAAACACGCGCAGCGTCTACCTAAATGCACATCAACTGCAGCCGCCGGCACGCAGTCATTTCCAGGCGTTGCTCAACGGCAGCACCAATCTGGCACTGGCACCATTTCTGGATCTGTTCAATCACTCGGACAGCGTGCAGACAACAGCAGAGCTGCAGCTGGTGCCCGGCAGTAAGAGTCAGGATTATGTCCTTACGCTGGACGCGTTGTCAAAGCCCGAGCTGAGGCCATATGAGCAGCTGTTTATCAGCTATGGAGCACTGCCCAATTTGAAGTTGCTCACGGAGTACGGCTTCTATTTGGAGCGCAATGCGCACGACTACTTTGAGTTTACGTTGTTGGACATTGAACAGCTCATCGCGCACAATAAGCAGCTGGCGGAGCAGAGCTATCATCGCAATATCTTTAAATTCATCAGGGAGCATAATTTAATGGACCAAATGTTTGTGCACATTCAGGATGGCTGCTCGCACAATCTGCGCGTGGTGCTGCATCTGATCTTCAAGCAGCAGGCGCACTTTCCCAATGTGCTCAATCAAATTGCCTTCGGCGATGTCGACCAATTCGACGATATACAGCCGGAGCTATCCTATTTGCTGGCACATAAAATTAAGGAGTATCGTGGCTTTGTGGCGGCGCTGGAGCAGCTGCCACAGCTCACGGAGAGCGGCACTGTCGCGCATGGTTACCTCTTGGAGTGCTTGCGTTACCTGCGCGACTTTGAGGCAGCGCATTGCGAAGCTAATAGTTAATCCTAATTGAGTTTTGTTTTATGAAATAAAGTATACATATTTAATTTTGTAAACATCTGTTAGTCATTCATTCTAAAGCTCTCATTTACTTTGCAGCTTTATGCCACGCTTGCCAGATCCGACGATGATTCACAGCACAATTCCAAGTCCAACAAGAGGATAACCCCGTTTACGCCCACACCAGGCAACAAATTGCTAGGCGGCGTCTTTGCCAAGAAGCTAAAAGGTAGGTCCAACTGTAGCTTAACACGTTGTAGATAACTTGATGTAGTATATCCACGCAGAGTGTGTTTTTAATTCTTCCATAACAGACAAATGCCACTGACACGTCTGTGTAAAATTCCTTGTTATTAATTAGCTGTTTAAATGTGAACTGTGATCGCTTGAAAAATTAGAAATTAGATTGCTGCTTTTAGATAATTTCCTCTTTATTAGCTGAACACATATAATGTGGGTAATATAGGTAAAACAGGTTTATCCTAATATGTATAACCGGCAGAAGGAGCGATCTTCGTTCCCATAAAGCAAATATTTATATTCATCAGGACGACAACAGTGCTGATCTAACTATGTCTGTCTGTGTGAACACGTCGATCTCGGAAACTACAAGAGCTAGAGGAATGGAAATTTTAAATATATATTCTGTGATAAACACAGTTACATATGTTCACTTATTTTTATAATAAGGACTTGGAGACATGATATATTAAGCCTTAATAGGAAATATTAAGAAGTAGATATGTCAAACTTGTACGTATCGTATATACAGCCTTGAGCAATTCACTTTTCGGATAACTCTCCTGAAATTGGAATAAATTGTATTTTTACTACACACTATTTTGTATGCCACACTCAGGAAGTCAAAAATTCATTAAGATCGGACTATGAATACCGAAATGAATCAAGAATGCATTTCCCATAAATAGTGTGGAGGTGCCAAAAAGGCAGAGGCACAAGAGGATTAAATGTCCAGTTTTAGTTGTTCGCAGTTCACATGTTCGAGTGATTACTGTACCGTCTATATAAATAGAGGTATATACATTTTTTGTACATTTGTCTTCTACTTTCGACTTCTCTTCGAGCTTCAATACAATTAAATTCGCTTACACACTCCCGCAAGGATATGCGCGATTTGTTACGCCAATGTCTAATGCTATTTATTATATTTTTATTGCGTATTTGTGCTTTTACTTTGACTAACTAATTTTTGTTTATATTTGAGCTAATGTGTAACATGATAAGCCCAAAAACAATTGCACTCGTTTGTTTGTTTGTCTGTTCGTTTGTTGTATTGGCGCCTGTTTGGATTTAGCTGCATTAAAGTCAATTCGATGCAGTTGCAGCCACAGCAGCAGCACCAGCAGCAGCAGCAGCAGGGCTACAACAACAACAACGACTGCCACAACAACAACAACAATCACGTCTATGTCACGTTCATATAGGCAGCGGCGGCAACGATGGCGGCGCATCGCTGGGCAAACTGGACGCACCCGAGGTCACCTCCAAGGACATGCTGCGCGCCATGATGGCGTACATTTGGCCCAAGGATGATGCCCTGGTGCGCAAGCGGTAAAGCTGAAATACATTTAAAATCAAAAAAAGGCCTTTAAATATACCCCAGCTAATTGTCTGCCCTGTCGCAGTGTGGGCATCTCGCTGGGTCTGCTCGCCGGCTCCAAGCTGTTGACTGTCTGTGTGCCATTTATGTTCAAAGGTGCCGTGGATACGATGACAACGCTTAACATGGACACAGCGCCGGACGCAGTACTGTCGGCAGCCACGGCCATGCTCCTGGGCTGTAAGTGCTCTCAAGTCTTAATACCATTAAAGGAGATTCATAAATCCAACGTTTGCAGATGGCATTGCCAGAGCCAGCGCCGCTGGCTTCAATGAGCTGCGCAACGCTGTGTTCGCCAAGGTCGCCCACCATTCCATACGCAAGATTGCCACCAATGTGTTCCTGCATCTGCACAATCTGGATTTGGCCTTTCATTTGAACAAGCAGACGGGCGCGCTGTCCAAGACAATCGATCGGGGCTCGCGTGGCATTAACTTTGTGCTGTCCGCCATGGTCTTCAACATAGTGCCCACCATATTTGAGCTGACGCTGGTCTCCAGCTTATTGGGCTTTAAATACGGTCTAGCTTTCGCCGGCGTTAGCATGGGCTGTGTGGGCGTCTATGCCCTCTACACACTGAGTGTGACGCAGTGGCGCACACGCTTTCGCGTCTACATGAACCAGGCGGAGAACGAGGCGGGCAACAAGGCTGTCGATTCGCTGATCAACTATGAGACGGTCAAATATTTCAACAACGAGAAGTACGAGGCCGGCTGCTACAACGAGGTGCTGAAAAAGTACGAGACGGCCAGCTTGAAGACCAGCTCCAGCCTGGCGCTGCTTAATTTTGGACAGAATGCGATATTTAGCAGCGCTCTAAGTCTTATCATGGTGTTGGCGGCCAAGGAGATTGTCCAGGGCAATATGACGGTCGGTGATCTAGTCATGGTGAACGGCTTGCTATTTCAGCTGTCCATACCATTGGGCTTTCTGGGCAGCGTGTATCGTGAGGTGCGGCAGGCGCTGCTGGACATGCAGGCCATGTTTACGCTCATGAATGTGGACAGTAGCATACAGTCGGCGCCCAATGCGCAGCCACTCTACGTGGACAACAGCAATGCGTCTATTGAGTTTCAAAATGTTAGTTTCGAGTATGAGCCGGGCAAGGCCATTTTTAGGGATCTGTCATTTAGCATACCCGCCGGCAAGAATGTGGCCATTGTCGGTGGTTCCGGTTCCGGTAAATCGTCTATGGTGCGTTTACTCTTTCGCTTTTTCGAGCCGAATGCGGGTCGTATTTTGATTGGGGGCCAGGACATCAGCGGCGTTGAACTGGACAGTCTGCGCCGAAGCATTGCTGTCGTGCCTCAGGACTCTGTGCTCTTCCACAATACCATCGAACATAACATACACTACGGCAACCTGAGCAAATCGCACCTGGATGTGCAAAATGCGGCACGCATGGCCGATCTGCATGATTCGATCATGAGCTGGCCCAATCAGTACCGAACCCAGGTTGGCGAACGGGGCCTTAAGCTCTCCGGCGGCGAGAAGCAGCGTGTGGCAATTGCGCGGGCCATCTTGAAGAACACGCCCATTCTAATCTTCGATGAGGCTACCAGCAGTTTGGATTCCATCACGGAGCATGTGAGTCGCTTGACCCTGGCTTGCTTGAGTCGCCGACTTAGCTGATGCCCTTTCCTTTTGTAGAACATATTGCAGGCTCTTTCCCGCGCTACCTCGGGCCGCACCAGCATTTGCATTGCCCACCGTTTGTCCACAATTAAGGATGCCGACGAGATTCTGGTGCTGGAGAACGGCTGTGTGGGAGAACGTGGCACGCACATGGAGTTGCTCAAACAAAATGGCCTCTATGCACGCCTGTGGGAAACCCAGACCCAACAATTCGATCCCAGTCGTCGCGCAGAGGAGGCGTCGCAGCAAAAGACAGCGAACGCTCTGTAGTCCTATTGTTGGCCACGTTAATCACGTTTTCTAGTTTTAATGATGCGCTTTCTTAATTGACGAGGTCACAAAATTTTATGTGCAGAGATTTGTTAACATTTAGGTTGAAAATAATATTGTGTCCGGTTTGTAAATACAGTTATACATATAAGTATATATTCGGATTATGTAAATATAGCATAATATTGTTGGGTTGGATAAGAGTAGAGAGTAGAGAGGGTCTAGCTTACCCTGGGACTAACTCGCAGTAGGCCATTTTTAACTACAGCGGGCAACAGTTTCTCGCTATTTGGACACGGACATTTTTTAGTATAATATATTTATCCAAAAACATTAAATGGCCTAAACTTGGATATATATATAGTCCAATATTGGAAAGATATGCATTTTCGGACTTTGTATACTCTATAGATTAGGTTGAATTCAAAAATTGTGAATATTCGAAATGACCCCATTTTTGCACAAATTGTGATTTAACCCCTTGGCATATTTGTCAAATCCGATCAAATATAAGAATGGGATTTTTTGAATGCCAATTGATTGTCGGATCCGTACGAGCCCAAAAAGCTGTATTATTTGAAAATCTGACTTTATTTACCCGAGTTATTCCAATTTTAAAATTGTTCATGAACTTCCCATTGTGGAAAGTTATGGCATTTTGGACTCGTGAAATGCTATAGATTACGTTGGAATCAAAAATTGTGATCATGCGAAATGATCCCATTATTGCAAAAATTGTGATATATCCCCTTACCATTTTTGTCAATTGTTGTGAAATGTTAGCAAAGGATTTTGTAATGCCAATTGAATATTGTGATTCGTACGAGTTCAAAAAGCTATATTATATGAAAATCGGACAATAATTACCCGAGATATTTCAATGTATCATTTTTCAACGTTATATGAAATCCGATCTTGAAAGCTCAAAGTTTTCCTTAATGGCTTATCTACCATATATAAACATTTTTCTGAGGTATAACATTAAACATTTATTATCAGTTTTATCACCCACACATTATGTGACACTAAGGGACTTAGGCAAGGAAATACATTGTAGCAAGTGGAATATAATATCGACTGCTTCATTCTTAATCTCTCTCTCTAATGGAAATCGGTATGGGCACATCGTATAGCAAGTAGAGCAAGCAATTGGCCAAATGCTTGAGGAACTGTTGGTAATTGCCGAGGCGTTGCTTGAACTCCTTCCAGAGCGGCAGCAATGATCGCTCCTTGGACTGACCCACATCATCTATGACAATGTCCTGCTCCAGCATGGTCTTGTTTACATAGGTGTACAAATAGGAGGCTGGCTTCTGCCCAATGGTGGTCACATAGTGCGTGGCATTGCTCTCCAGGCCAATGCTCTTGCCGGCTGTCAGGAAGAACTCCTCCCCATCCTTGGCGCTCTTGTAGCGCACATTACCCTCGAGTATTGTCAGGCTGCAGTTGAATAGAGTCGGAGCGATAAAGTTGCTCAGCGTTAGACCTGGAAAATCGGCGACAAATATAACATCCGAGTAGTTGTTCCAGGCCAGCACCTCATTGGCAATTGTTTTGAGTTTCGGACGCATATGATTCAGCTCTGTGAGCAGCGGCAGCGACCAGGGCGTACGCTTAAAAGGTGACCAGGGCGCCTTTAGCAGATCCACGCGCGGATCAAAGGTGCGCTGCTGAAACCGCCCGTTCATGGCACACCAAATGTCAAAGTAAATGGAAATGTTGCTGCTTGTCAACGGACTGTTCTCCGGATGCAGTTCCATGTCGTCTCGGATGTTCTTCTCAATGCACTTGGCATACTGGACAGCCATGTCGGCATACTTAGTCCAGCGATCGTATTCGGTGAAGGCATAGGGATTCAGATGATGCACCTTCTGGTTGTCATTGTCCACCACCTGGATGGAGGTCAGCACCGTATCGTAGGAGTGCACCATCATGTCCCAGGAGTAGCCATAGAGACCGTTCGTCCAGTTATTGTAGCCCTTGGTGATGAAGTGCGAGTAGGGCAGAAACAGCTGCAGCGCGCAGTACAAGATTATGATGCAGCTGCGCAACCGGTCCTTGAACCTGGGTTGATCGCCGACCGGGGCTTTCTTCTCCTCCTTCAATGCTGGCGTCGTCTTGACCAAGCACCGTAAGCGTCGTGGCCAGTCGAAGCTGAAGAAGAGCGGCACCTCCGCCAGGCAGACCCAAGGGAACATGCCTATATAAACGATAGACATTTAGGCATTAGAGCAGGGAATTCCTCTAAAAACCCACCTATAATAAAGAGTCGCGAGTTCATCAAGTGAAAGCTAATCATGAACGGAGTAACCAGCAGACGCGTCTTCTCGCAGGTCATGAAAAATGCGATGGAGAGATCGAAAAAGGCCGTAAACCAATGGATGATCAGCAGATCGATGAGCTCGTCGTCCAGCAGCTGGCGAAAGGGCGCAAAAACCCAATGCTGACTGAGACTGGACATGGCATAGCCGGAGAGCCATTCCAGCGAAAACTTCTTCAGACCCGCGTACACGTACAGCACAAAGAACTGGAACTTGATGAGAAAGTAATTCCAATACGGCACCGGCTGCCTCAGCTCTGGCCGCAGCCAACTGTCCAGGGAGCTGCAAGCAAAAGCAGTAGATCAATTGGATTGGATATGGCATGCTCAAAGGATTACCCACCAGTAGCTGTGCGCCCGTGTGAACAGCAACAGCGTGCCGACCAATCCGAAGAGATAGCTATGATTATTCCACGCCGGCTTGTCCAGCAGAAAGATGTACCAGTAGCCCGCCACAAATGTCGAGCAGCTGAGCCGGAAACGATAGCCCAGCATAATGCCCCAGGCGCCCAGCCACATGGCCAGATAGACGCAGCCCATCAGCGGATAGTCCAAGGCGGCCATTCCGTTGAAGAGCGGAAAATGACAATGATGCGGTTCACCGTAGCGCACGTCCAGCTGCCCCCCGCCGCGCTCCTCGGCTATGTCGATCAGCATGGCGGCGCCGTAGAGCATCCGGAATACACCCAAGGCTGCGCCATCCACGGGTCGATGCAGCCAGCGCGTAAAACTCTGCAAGCTGTCAAAGTTTTGCAGATCATGGCCAAAGCACAGCTTAAAGAACTGAGCGCTTGGACCGGGCTCTGAAGCTGCCACCTCTTCCGGCCCAGTCGTGCACGGCTCATCATCTGCAGTTGGGGATTTGTTTTCTGCGGTGGCATCTGTTGTGCTTGTGGGTTTTGTGGGCTGTTTGCGTTTCGAGTTGGTCATAATGCCTGTGTGGTGGGGGTGCTTAAAGTAGAAACTAAAGCGTGGTATAAAAGTGTGCATTGAATTTAAAGTTTAAAGCAAATAATGTACCTGATATGAAAACAAATACTTAAAAGTCGTTACAGCTCGTTTCGAATGCATTGAGTGTGCTTTTGGCTTGTAATTCGCAAACAGTTTAAGCTGAATTTGCTCTATATGCCCGAACAGATTAGATTATATAGCTAATAATTCTCAATCAGTCTTGGTTGATTTTGCTATTCATATTCGTACATAAATAAATTTGTTTTAAATGTGCTTTTGGCTTGTAATTCGCAATCAGTTTAAGCTGATTTTGCTACATACACACGCGCAGTTAAAATAATAATAATTTCATAGTGCTAGAGGATTGTGATTCGCGATCATTAAAACATTTACCCTGCCGTTCCAATAATACAGTCGTTTAACAAAATTAAGTTTCGGTTGTTTTTTTTTGTAGAATTTATTGAAAAAGTTGACATAAATACATGCATGCATATTGTTGTATACTAAATATATAATATATGTTTGTTTTTTTGTTTTTGCTTTTTATTTCTCTTGCGTAAATAGAAATCTACGTTTGCTGTCTTTTTTTTTTTTATATGATGCACACCTCCAACGAACCCCTGCCCCCGTTCCATACCCAAACTTAACATCGGAGGCTGCGATCATTGAAATATTTAGTTGCCATCCTATTGTGTTCCTGTGTGTGTGTCTTTTAAGCGAAACGGGGTTCGCGTACAAAAAAATACATCAATTACGAAATATATATATATTTATAATATTCATTACATCTCTATATATTCTTGAGTTGAGTTTATTGCAACATTTATTTGCCCAGCTGCCGCGCTATGTAAATTCTCAAACCCCCAACTGATGTTCTTTAAAGTTGTGTTGAACAGGTTTCTATATTTTTTTCTGTTTTGTTTGTTTTTCATTTGACATTTTAATATAGTTTCGAATATAGAAATACATATAATTTTTATTTTGAATATGTTTTACAATTTGCAATTGTCCATTTCAATGGTTCGCAAAATTTCTAGAAATTTTTGGGAACAAGCTTTGAAAATGCCTCAAACTACGCAAATACGAATACAATATAGCTGAATATGCTTCTTGAGAATAAGTTGTATATAAGCTAATGCTTTGGTTTAAAACTTCTTTGGTTTGGAATTGCGGGGAAGTACACTAAATAAAACAGTATTAAAAAAACAACTAATGGGGGAAAATTGATTATTAGAAAGTATACAAATTAAACTTGTTTAAATAGCTTAAATATGTATATATAAATATTTGTTTGTGGTTGGTTTTTAATTAATTGCTGACTGCGTGGTTTAATAGTTGAGTTTCATTTTGTTTAATTTAAATACGACAGATATTCATAAATGACTAATATTTGACTCTGCTGCACATTTAAGTATTTAACTTTGGTTTTGTTTTTTTTTTATTTATTTTTTGGTTTGCCATTAAAAATATTAAGTTTTGGTTTTCTTTTGCTTTCTTATTTTGTTTTTCGATAATTTTACGCAACGCTAAAACATTTTAAATTGCATTTTCAAAGTTAATTCTTTAAGTATTCGGTGTAGCTGCAATTCGAAAAGTGTTGAGACAAAGTTTTCGAGTTGTCAGTGTTGAAAAATGTTCGCATACAAAGTGAAGCCAACCCGGCACAAAACATTATCGAATGAAAACTGTGTTGTTGTTGTTGTTGTTATTATTATTGTTATTGTGGTTGCTATTGTCGCTGACCGACCGGCACAGGCAAGCCTCCTCCTCCTTCAGCCGCGCGCGCTCTCTCCCTCCCACTCCCACTCCCACTCTCACTCTCTGTCTCTGCAGCCACCCCTTCGCCAATTGGTGCGCAGGCGCGCTCTCTGCCGCTGCGGCTTGCTCTCGCTGCTGCGCCCGTCCGGTCTCTCTCGTTTTATATGCGATTCTGATTCAGCTGAGAGCGTGGTGTGAATGGGCTAACCATAACGCCACTTGGCCAAATCGCCTCGTTGAACAGCTCATTGAAACGATAGTCCGGTATGGATATCTTGAATTTGCAGTATGATAGCTGCGATAGGTTGGCATCGTTTTTGACCAGCTTGGTGCACTTGACCAGATTCTTGTTGATCTTCAGCTCCTCGGCCAAATGCTCGATAATGTCATCCTCGCTGGTGTTTGTCGCAAATTTGCCCACCTGCACCCAGCGACCGTAGTCGCAGACGACCTGCAATCGATCCGAATTGCAATTGTTGCCAACAACGATGAGATTGTTTTGCTGCGGATGCTTTTTGCCATCCAGATTGTTGACGGGCTGATTGCCAAATTGGAAATACTGTTGGTACATCCGACCCTGGATCTGATTGACGCCGTTGCACACCTTGTTCACCTTCTCCTCGATGGTGTGCAGCTTGGCGGACAGTGCCTTCGGCGATTGATTTCTGCACTCATCACAGTTAAACGATATCATTGGGTTCTTCTGTATCAAATCGTACATCGCATCGTCTATATTGACGCACGTGCGATGGAACTTCTTTAGGCAGTCGTCCGAGTTGCAGATGATGATTGCATCCTTCGAGTTGATTGATTTCTTGCATTTTGGACAATTTTCGGCCATCTTTGCACTTCTTTTTATATATATGTATGTATTTTTTTAACGTATTTGGTTTGAGGAGAACGTCGACAAGTCGAGAAAAACACACACACACTCAACACAAGCACACACACATGCACTAACACGAACACGAGCACACACACACACACACACGCGCACACGGACTGTGTATGAGCGAATATTCTGTCTGCTGGTTGGTTGGCCTGTCGCTATCAAACGGTATCGGTGTGAGTGTGTGAGAAGTTTGCTGAAATTGTTGGAGAATAAAGAATAGAAACGCAACCGAACTGCGAACCGTACGCTTCGAAGTTTGCTGTTCAACTGAATGCGAACCCTTAGAAAAGCTGCCTCTGCCGCCTGCCGTCTGACGCCTGGCAACGCGGCGCCCGTCGTAAGGGTGGCTTTTTATCGGCTTCTGCTTTTGTCAGTTACGTTGCCGTTCATTTGTGCTCTTGTGCTTTTGTTTTTGTAACTAATTTTTCTGCACCATATGATTTTGTTTCTTTTTGTAAGAGTCGCTCTCCTTTTTCGTTTACAATTTCTTGCTTGCAAAAGCTGCAAAATTGCAACTCTGGCAACGCTGTTCAAGTTGGGCCGCCTTGCACTTGCCATTTGCAGTGTTGTAAAGCAGCGTTTTATGGAAATGAAACACTGCAAATGCAACTCATTGAATCCTGTTTGCAAAAGATCAAGCTATTTGAGTTACAAGCTACTTGTAAATATTTAAATTTTGGTACATTCATTTTATGAAGTACCAAATGTTTGGGAGTTTTACCAGATAATTCTTATATACATACAATTATTTAAATTTAATTTCTATTAACTTAAATTTAATTATTTTCAAGCTCAGAACCTTATAATATGAGATGTGTTGACATATAAAATCAGCTGTTCGATTTACTACATTTAATTTGTTTATATTAAGCTTCACAATCAATTCAGACCAAAACATAGTCATATTTCGGCTCGAATAGCTCATGTAGTGCAATCGCTTCAAATCAAATGGGTTGCTCACCTGGATTCGGCTTAAATACAACTCCAACGTTGTCCAATTACACAGATCGGCGCTAAATTGGGTAAACACATGGAAAACAACAACTTCCGCTGGCAATTGTCAATTGTTGGTAACTTGGAACTTTTTTTTTGTTGCGATTACTGCTGCAGCTTGCCTTTCGCAACAGTTTGCGGCTTGTAACGTGAGACTTTTACTGGGACCAAGAGGAGCCGTAGGGACAAGACCACGCGAGCAACACGCTCCAGCAACTGAGGCTGTGTGCGCAAAGCTGCGCCCTATTTATACTGAGGTGAGCGGCTCTCCAGCTCCAGGAGGAAGGACTGGGTCTTGGATGGGTGGGTGGGTTAGTTGGGCGATGGCGGCCGAGTGTCGGCAACGGGTGGGCGGGGTGTTGTTTGCGCATGTCCTTGCCCATAAAGAGGATGATGAACAGGAGAGTGAGGGTGTGGGGGGCATAATAATAAAATATATTATATTTAGTGCTTGTACACAAGGCGAGAAAATGCAAATAGCGTTAACAGGTGTAGCGGCAGCTGCGCCAGCGAATCTTTGCAGCTGTTTTTGTTTGCCCGGTCGTCTGGTGTAATTGGGTTTCATTAAGTGGGCAGAGGGCAACCATTTCCGTTTCCTTTGCGGCTTGGCTCTGCAGTGCTCCAGTTTTGGTGTCAATAGATTTTAATCAGGTGTGGCAAGCGTGGTAAACAGGCGACGCCACGTGCCCATCAGCCCACCTGGCTGGCTGCGTGCAGCTGATTTAAATATCATCTCCGGCAACTCAGTCTCTATTTGTATTCAGCTTTATTTTTATTATTGTCCTCCGGCTGCTGCTCCTCCAAGGTGTGCTATCTGCGTCGTACCTCCAATTGTTATTTATGTATGCAATACACGGCACCCACGTGTGTGCCCGATTCCAGCTAAATCCTGCACCAGTTCATGCGAAACGCTGGATGCGGGCTGCCAAGTGCGCAGTTCCCTGACAATAAGTTTGGCAAGCTCTCGGATTTAATTTAAGCACTACCTGGTATACTAACTATATGTCGCTCCCCCTATTTATAGACCAATCTGCCTGTCAATTTGACAGCTACAAGTTGTTGCTGTTGTTAAAGTAGCATCGACTGAAAGCAACATGAAAATGCTTTTGTTCTCAGCTTAAATCAAGGCAATGTAAGCAAAGTCGAAAGACTAAAACCAGTAATCTTTTTGTAATTCCAAATTTGTATGAAGTATTAGTCTAGTGATAAAGCCGGAGTCAAAATGGTGTCTCCTATAAATATGAGTTAAGCTTTGCAGGACTAAAGAGAGAGGGAGAGAGAGAGAAAAACGGTTGGGATGATTACCAAGGGCTATTTAATTATTTAAATTAAATCTAGAAATTAAAGCATGGTCAGATATATATCCCCTTTGAATAATTGTTCATATATATCAAAGTATTGATAGTTTAAAGCTTAGACAGAGCTTTCCCTATGGAATTGGGTTTTAAATATTTTTGATATATTTTAAAAATAACAATTTTTAAAAGGTACATTTCAATTTGTTGTCAAAATTATTGAAAGGTTCAATCTAAGGCTGAAATGGTGTATCTTATAAAAATAGGTTCGGTTTTATGACAATTGCAAGTCTAAAAAGGCTGGAAGTGTTATATTTTTTCCAAAAATAATCAAAAGAATAATCTTTTTATATAATTACTAGCAATAAATAAAGTATAGAGTCAATACAAATCTTATAATAGTGAGCTTATATGGAACAAAGTATATTTTATATTTTGTACTAAGGCATATAAGTATTATATATATATGTGTGTGTCTGTGTGTGTGTGTTTGCGAGTGTGTGTTAGTGTATGCGTGCATGTATGTATGCATTTATGTATGTATGTGTGCATGCATGTTTGTTTTCTAATACCAAACGCAGACCAATCATATTTGTTGCTGTGCTGCAAATTTAAATAAAACGAATTTCTACCAAGTGCTCTTCTCCTCGATTCTCAAGAATTCAAGTAGGCTCTGCAGATTTTCATGTGTAGCTAGTAGTGTAGTATTTTTTTTGGTGATTTTTTTTGGTGTTTTTTTGGTGTATGTATGTATGTATGTATGTATGTGTATGTGTGTATGTGTGTATGTATGTATGTATGCATGTATGCATGTATGCATGTATGCATGTATGCATGTATGCATGTATGCATGTATGCATGTATGTATGTATGTATGTATGTATGTATGTATGTATGTATGTATGTATGTATGTATGTATGTATGTATGTATGTATGTATGCATGTATGCATGTATGCATGTATGTGTGTACATGCACGCATGCATGCAAAACAAACATGCACGCATGCATGCAAAACAAACATGCATACATGTATGTACAAACAGGCATACATATATGTATATGCAAAGTTAAACCTTAGCCCAACAAATCTTTGAGTCGCATTTCTACCGGGCAAGCTTGGGTTCTGCGAAAAGTGCGAAACACATCCCACATGATTGTTCATATAGATCCTTTGAGCACAAAACGTCAACCACCAACAATTTGACCGTCATTTCCACCAAATGAGGTATGGATTTTCCATCCAAAGATTTTTAAAAATGTCTTTAAAGCCGGTCGGATGGTAAGCAAAAACTTTTACAACAACCGTTTTTCGCTAGTTACCCACATTTATGGGGGGAATTTCCCAAATCGTTGAATTACGTATTAATTTTGACATATATATGTATATGGGATATTTGAGGGCACTTTTTTCACATGAATTTTGAGCAAGAATAGTGTTGCCAGATTTTGATGCCAAATTTATCTAAAGGCCAAACCATCAACAAAAAGTCTAACCTCGTGCAAATCCGATGAGATTTGGCCGAGTTATGGGGTTTGGAAATTTCGACCTATGTTTATATAGGATATTTGAGGGTATAATTTTCACATGAATTTTGACTACGAATAATTTAGTCTTAATACACGGATATATTTTAAAATGTATTATTTGAACAAATAATTAAAAACAAGTATTTTATTGGAAAGTTAATCTGTAGGCGTTTCGCATAGAATTCAAATATTGAGCATTGTTTTGGGAGTCTTTGTAGGATTCCTAATGGCTACCTCTTTAGCCCTGAACAAGTCGATTGGTTTTAACATGTGATATTCATAGACACAAATGGAATGCCCTTTAAGTATCGGCGATTCAAGTTCACATTCATATTACATATCTTTCACATATCTCGTTTTGCATGCAGCTCACAAAGCTGTTGAATATTGGCCTAGGCAGTTGTTTTTTTGTTTTCTTTTTTCCACCCAAATTTGGGCGCCTACTTCACACTTGTAGTTGTTGTAAGGTTATTTAAAAAAAAAGGTCTGCATTATTTAAACAAAATAAGAGCACCTTCGCAGTTCATTTGTAAAATGCTCGTGGTGCATTCGGTTTCGTTTAGTCATTCAAGACTTTACTTCGGCTGCGCTGTCAAATGTTTATGACTGGACGCTGTGAGGGGTCCCACGCCCACGCCCACGCCCACAGCTTAAAGCTAGCCATTAACCTTTATCGAGGTGTATCTCTGGCATTACGTGTGCGCCAGAGTAACATAGTTGCGAATTCTTCGCCCAGCTCCAATTGCGTAAATATGCCTGACTGGCCGTCTGGCCACACGGGGCGTATGTGTAACACGCTCGCGACTAATTTCGCGGCTGACCAAAAATAAAATCACTAAAAATTCCAAAATAAACTAAAACACAATTACAGCGCGTAAGCGTCTCATTTAGAGAATCAAATCAAAATCAATTTCAAGTTCAAATCGCAAGTCGCGAATCGCGAATCTCGAGCCGCACATCGCGCATACGCCGCATAGGCGCTGCCCGACCTGGGAGCTGACCTTCCGACAATTACGCGCATATGTTGCACTGCGCCAATTACGGAGACGCATTTTTGTTATATTTCAATTTGTTTTTTTTTTTTTGGCAATTGAAATGCGCGTGCCACAGAAAACAAAAGTGTTGGCATGCGTGCATCATCATTTGGCAGCTGTGGATTCTCGCCGGGCATGCCTTTAATTGTAGAACTGGGGCAAGCGGCTCATCCCTAAACAGGGTGTTTGGCCGGTGTCAAGTGCCACATTGGCTGACATTGACACTCATACGCTTATGCTCGGGCTCGTGATCGTCATCGTCATCGTGATCGTGATCGCTTCCCCTTTGCGTATAAATATGCGTCGCATGCGCTGCTGTTGGTCACACAACGAGACGAGTTCGACGGCTGCACGTTTCCCAGCTCGATCAGCGAGCATAATTTAAACCGGACTGCCTAGTGAGCGCTTGAGAGGATTATGATGTGCCGTGCGCTGTTGATGCTGCTGCTGGCGCTGGTCGGCGCCAGCCATGCGGCGACACATGTCAACATTTCCATAGCCCAACAGCCGGCCACAAATCCGGCGGATGTTAGCTTCATTGATGGACGTGCGCCAGCGGAACTGAAGGCGGGTCCCTATCGCCCGGAGGAGGAGCAGCAGGAGCAACGTTTTCAGCGGCTGCAGGAGCGACCGCAGCAGCAGCAGCAGCAACAGATGCAGCAATCCCAGCAGCAACAGATGCAACAATCCCAGCAGCAACAGATGCAATCACAGCAGCAACAGATGCAACAATCGCAGCTGACGCCGCGACAGGGATTGGGCCTGCAGCCGGCACAGGCTCCTGCTCCTGCCAATCCGAATGGCCGCATGCCACGTCGTCGCATGCACGGACGTCGCCCCTCGATGCATCAGCAGCCGCCGCACAGCGGCCAGTTCCGCCAGCGCAACCAGCAGTTGCGCCAGAATCAGGAGTTCGAGCGTTACATTCAATCGTATCACAGCCATGGACCCTCCGTGGAGACCGTGAGTTCTAGTGAAGATTACCTGGGCTGTTCTTGCCTAACATATTTCGTTGCCCCGCCCGCCAGGTCTATGAATCCTCCAGTCCCTCGCCCCAGCGCTACTCGCAGTCCAGCAGCAGCAGTGGCAGCAGCGCCAGTTCCTTTGCAGCCGACGACGACGCGGTGTCCATTGGCGGCGCCAAGTCGCAGCAGCTGCGCATGTTTGAGCGCCAGGTAGCCGCTCCAGTTGCGTCACAAGGCCAGAGCGCCAATGTGGAGCAGGCACAGGACAGCAAACCCATCTACGAGCCGGCACAGCCGGCGCCCGTACAAGCTGCAGCCATTGCGCCCGCAGCCAGCGCCAGCTCCAGCTCCAGCCCTAGCTCGGCTCCTGCACCGGCGCCCGCATCAATGCCCAACGACGGCAAGCAGGGTGGCAACAGCTTTGAGTCCTCCTACGAGCCCGCCTACGATGCCGGCAACAGCTACAATCGACCCAGCTACGATCAGAGCGGCTACGGCTATGAGGATGTACAGGATGACTACCAGGATCAGTATCCGCCAGCTGTGGACGAGAGCGCCAGCTACGATGACTACGCTGAGCAGTCGGGCGGCTCGGGCTATTTGCCGCCGCAACGGGGCTATGTGGCACCGCCACGCCCACTCGTCACAAAGACCATACAGATTGTGCAGCCGGCGCTGAAGGCCAAGAAATACGAGGTGCGTCATCCGGCCATACAGAAGGAGTTCTACGATATCGAAGAGCGCGTCGTTATCAAGCCGGCGGGCACACTGGTCGTGGAGCTGGATCATCCGGTGGCCAAGATACCCAAGGGTGAGACACTGCTGTCACTGGGTCATCCCCATCCCGCCGTCGCTTCCGCCTACAACAACAACAATGGCCAGGTGCAGGCGCACAGCTACAACAATGGCAACGAGTACAGGCCAGCCTATGAGCAGTCGCCAGCGCCGGCCAAGGAGCAGGCTCAGGTGACCACCATTGGCTCCAGCGTGACCACCATGCCCGCCTACGACCAGGCGCCCAAGGATGAGTATGTGGAGGCGCAGCTGCAGCAGCAGCAGCCACAAGGCAGCGATGCCACCGATGGCAAGCGCCAGCCAAGTTCCAGTTCCAGCTCCAATCCCAGCTCTAGCTCCAGCTCCAGTGTGATTGCCACCGATGGCAACGGCAATCAATTCCAGATCAACAAGAAGCATCTGACCCCCAAGATGCTCACACGCCTGGAGCCCGAGCAGCCGGATTACGACTACGGCCGCAGCGAGGCCAGCTATCCGCCGCAGCGTAGCTATCAGCGCACCAATAGCTACAATCGCCAGCCGTATCAGAGTGCCGGCAATGAGGATTACTTCAGCGGCGAGTTTCTGCCCAATGCCAATGCTGGCAATGTCGAGATAAAGCCAGCGCGTCTCGAGGAGGCGCCACGCCCGCAGATAATCAAGCACGAGCACAAGATTCATTTGCCGCCATCGCAGCATAACATCTATCTGGGCCGCAGTCGCCAGCCGCCGCCCAAGGAGCGTCGCATCACGGAGCTGCCGGTGTCCAGCGGCCAGGAGCTGCCCGCCCATGTGGCCGAACTGAAGCCCTATTTGCGCAGCCATTCCGGCCCGACGGTGGTTTATGCCAAGTCCGCGGTGCGTACTGCCGCTCCACGCAGCTACTATTCGCAGGCAGCACGCCAGCGAAGTCCCTTGGCCGAGGAACTGGAATATAGTGCTCCATATTCGCGCATGCGTTACGATCCGGACCAGGAATCTGGCCGCCTAGTGGAGGCGCCCATGCAGCAGCCCAAGGAAGCAGCCAAGGCACAAATTCATTTGCAAATACCGCATCACGAGGATCGGGATCAGTCCATTGTGGCCACGGCGACGATTACCCCCCTGAAGCCCGACTGCGAGCAGGCGGAGATGCGGCAGGAGAAATCGGCCCGCTTGCGCCAGCCTCAGCAACAACAGTTCCAGCGCCTGGTTGAGGCACCTGTCGCCGCCGTTGTGCCATCCACACAGGCCACGCCCACGCCTGGCCAGCCCCAGCTGGATGTGGATGTGTCGCTCAACGGCGCAGCCGGCCATCTCAATCGGCACCTGCAGGCCAATGAGCGCGTCATCTCGGCCACAGCCGCGCCCACCGATGCGGCCGCCACCAGCGAGACCTTCCACAAGCGCCGCATCGTGGTCAATCATCCGTTCCAGACGGTGCGCGAAGTGGTCGAGCACGAGCCCATCACCAACTACCATCAGATACAGGTAAACGAGCCCGCCTCGCCAGCCCTGTACCATCAGGCCGCCTACTACCAGCAGCCGCTGCAGACGCACGGAAATCTGGTGCAATATCAGACCACATCGACGCATGGTAAAATCTTTGGTTAGACCAGGATCTGAACGGAGCGATTGTAGACCCGGATTTGTATAGTCGACTACTCTCTTTTTGTTTTTATTGCATTTTTGTTGTAATTAGGAATTAGGAGACACGAAAAATTCCCAGAATCGGTGGAAGGGCCCTTTCCAGACAATATTGATCTTATCCATATGCATATATATATCCATAAATCTTAGACTTAAGCGCAGTTTTACTTGCCAACAATAAAATGCATACAAAATGCCTCGAAAATAAACGTAAAAGTTTTTAGCTTAAATAAAACCAGCCGCTGGCGCCATCTTTTGTTCAATGTTCAGCTAGAAAATCAAACGAAACTTGAAATTTCACATATAATATAATAATTTTTATTGGTTTTGTTTTCTTTTTGTTTTGTTTTACGAAAAAATTATATTTAAGCATAAGCATACAACGAACAAACTTACAGTTACACTTTTTTTTTAATGCAATTAGAACATTGACTGTTTAATATAATAATTGTTTATACTTGTTTCAACGTTGCAAGACACATTTTAATATATATATAGATAATTTTTATTGTTTTTTTTCTTTTTTGTTTTGTTTCGAATTTTGTTTGCACTGCTCGCAATGTTGTGGGTTAATAATTAAATATTTATCATTTATATATGTATATAAAAAATACAAAAACAATTGGCACCGCCTACGCGGTCAATATTCCAATGCAATTGTCCGAAGAAATTTTGTTTAAGCTTAGCTGGAATTTTGTATATATTTGCTTCACTGTGGCGGCGCTTGACTCGAGCGGCGTTTGTCCTTTTCCTTTTCCTTCTCCTTCTCCTTGTCGCCCTTCCGGCCAAAGATGCGGAACATGCCGCTGCGACGCTCCTCTTTGCTCTTGCTGCCCTTCACACCCGAAACGGAGGAAATGGACTGAGCTTCGCTCTCGCTGGAGCTTTCGGCCGATGCGCGCGTAAAGCTGATCGAGTCGGGCTGCAGCGAGACGGGTCGATTGCTCTCAAAGCGAGTGTTGCCCCAACCTGTGCGTAAAACAGAGAGAGAGAGATCGGGAGAGTGAGTATGTGTGAGCAGAGCAGTGCGAAGTCTGATGAAGAAAGCGCATGCAAGATAACATAAAAGAGAGAGTATGATGTTAACATAAAAGAGTGTGAGTGTGCATAAAGAGAACTCTTAGCCTAGAGTAAACGCATGAAGAGAGAGAGAGAGAAACTTAAATATACTTTGCAAACTCGTGCGCAGATAGGAACGACGCGTTATTTTCACCGGCTTTACAGTTGAACCTTCACACAGTTTAAATATATATATTTATTTTTGGCATGCAAATCAAAGAGAAACAAAGAAGAGAGTTAAAAATAGAAAGAGAGAGAGAGAGAGACCAATAACCAATAGCTAAGCTCCAGCAACTGACTACATGCCGCAAAGTACTAAAGAGGTAAACCAGATGCAAGCCTTATATATGTTAGGATAATTCTTTGTGTACCGATTCCATCGTTGTTATTGTTATTTAAATGTAGACCCATGTAGCTTGGATTACTGATGGCATTGTTATGGTCAACGGAGCCCGATGATGATTTTGTTGATGATGTTGGTGAGCTCGTTAGATGCCAAACCGTGCGACTGCTTGTCGCATGTTGTTGTTGTTGTTGTATCGTTGTTGTTGTTGTTGTCGTAGTTGTTGCTGTGCTATTCTTTTGCATAATATTACCGTTGCCATTGCTGCTCGCACCGCTGCTCGAGTAGCTAACGGTGCGCTTCGTTGTGCTGCTGCTGCTGCTGCCGGAACTGTGCCCGTTATTGTTGCTGCTCACGTTGCTGTTGCTGTAGCTGTTGCCCGGCGCATGCGCCTCCATCTCGATGAACTTGCGCGTCGAGTCGATGCGTCCGCTGCCCAGCGAGGGCACCCTCTGCGGCGTTGCCAGATGCTGTTGCTGCTGCCGCACAATGTTGTTGTTGTAGTAGTCGGGCTGCTGCTGCAGCTGCTGCTGCTGTTGATTGGCTGCTGCATTGAACGCATTTATGCGCTGCTGCACCTGCGCCGCATGCGGCATCTGATGGCTATGCTGATGCTGATGCTGCTGCGGATGGGCGCTGCTGCCCAGGGGCGGCATTGTTGTGGGCAATGGCGGCGGATTATCTAATATTTACGAGTCGAATTTGGGCGGGGGACACGTTTTTTCGTTTTACAATGGATGACAAAAAGTATGTGTGTGTGAGTTTGTGTAATTATGTGTGTGTGTGTGTGTTTGTGTGGGAACAGACACAAATAGCTGAAGGCGTTAACTACACTGGGACGCCAACCCGGAGCTACTCACCCGACTGTCTGGACTCGCTGTTGCGCATCATCACGGCGCCGTCATCTTTGCTATTTCCATTCTGCGCGGGAAGCGTGGCGGATTGTTGCAGGCGGCCATCGGTTAGATCTGCGCGGGGCAAACAATTAACAAATTTTATTTAAATTTTTTTTTTTTTTTTTTGCTCACCATTGCTGGAACTTTGGCGATTGCGCAAATTGACCAGATTCTCCTGGCTCTGGCGGGTGCTGGCCACGGGCGGTGCTCCTCGTGGTGGTATCGGCGGCTTCTGATCGAAGCCGGCTGTGGGTGAACTGGGCTGGGATTGTTGCTGCTGCTGCTGTTGTTGTTGCAATTGCTGCTGTTGCATTTGTCGCTGCAGGAAGGCCATTTGCGGCGTGGCCGTGTCCAATGTGTGCCCGCTGCTGCTGCGTCGCTGCGAGTCTGGCGAGGAATTGCGTGAACTGACGGGCGATTCCACGTTGCTGGTAACCTTAATGTCCGGTGAGCTGCTCGATTGTTGCTGCAAAAGGGAGACAGATATTGATAGGATTAAATGGAATCTTTGAATAAGGGCAAGGGGTAAGGGAAAGAAGGGTATATAACATACAGAGAGGCTGGATAGATCTTTAGTACGTTATCATGTCCATCTCGGAGATAAAAGCTGAATTCTTTAAATTTTGATGGATAATTATCGATTTTTAATTATACTAAAATCTATAAATGTCGATTTGCTGTGGCTTTTGTATGCTTTTTTTAAGATCTCAATATTCCATAATAAGAAGAACAACAAACACAACAGATTTTCCTGAGAATGTTGCAGAGGTAGAAATGGAGCTGAGTACAGGGTATCTGTCAGTTGGGTACCTTCTGTCACTTCAACAATTTGCACTTACCTTCATGGACTCATCGTAGCTCAGCAGCTGTAGATTTGGCGGCAGACTAGCGTGGAAGGATATCTTGCGTACCCAATCGTTCATGATGTCCAGCGATGGTGCCTCGAAGAGGAACTCGGAGCCGTCGGGCAATTTCAGCCGGAAGACATACTTCTTTTTCGTGTAGTCGTCGGCGCGTTCGCACTTGGCACCGAGAATATTGACGGGTGCCGTTGCCGTTTTCTGTTGCAGGAAATCGTTCTCGTCCTTGAAGAAGCAAACCAATTGGCCGCAGAGGACCGTATGGAATTGCTTCCAGGAGCGCACGGGCGCCTTTTTGCCGCCCGATTGCAGGCCGTGCTTACGCTCCAGCATGCCCTGAATCTCCACGGGCGGCAAATCGAAGCCCTCGCCCTTCTGGTTCTTGCGGAAGGACTGAGCACGACGACGCGTCGTGAAGGATGGCGTTCGCTTCGGTTGCTTTGGCTGCACCTTCATGCTCTCGGCGCGCTTCACATTGGCATCGGCGGAGCCGCGACGCAGCCGATCGCCGAACATGCCGCTTGAGCTGCTCTTCTGCAGATTGAGCTGCTCGTCCTGCAGCTGATCCTGGAAGGGTGGACGCAGCTGTACTTGGGAAATGGCCGGCGATTGTGCGGCGCTGCCGGGTGCACTGGTGCTGCTGGTGTTGCCGCCACTGATGGTCACCATGGGCGCGGAGAAGATGGGCGTCTTCTCCTGGGCGGCGGCGTTGTTGCGATGTTCCTGCTGCTTCTCGGCGCGTCGGCGCTCCTCGTTGAGACGCTGCAGCTCCTTTTGCTTGAGCTGTTCGAGGCGTTCCTTCTCAAGGCGCTCCTTCTCCTTCAGCTTGGCCAGCTTCTCGTGCTCCAGCTGCTTGCGGAAACGCTGCTCGAGCAGCGTAATGCGCTTGATGGCCTGGAATTTCTCCTCCTGGGCGGCCACTGTCTTCTCGAAGTCCTCGTGACGGCGCAACAGATCCTCCACCTGGGGTATGGAGTCACCCAGCTTGGTGTCCTTGAGTTGCGGCTCGCGACTGCTGATCCATTGCTCCAGTATTTCGGCATCCTTGAGGAAGAGCTGCGTGTCCAGATTCAGCTCGTAGATCTCCTTGCGCTGCTGCAGCGTATGCTCGAGCAGTTCGTGCCGGGATTGAAGCACCTTGATTTTATCCTCCACCTCGTGTGCCAGGAAGTGCTTCTCCTTGATCAGCTTCTGGCCGTTGGCCGTGAAGTTGGCAAAGGTCTCGTCGCGGGCGCGTATCTCGGCATGATGATCCTTGATGCTGGCGAGCAACAACTCCGCGCCGGCCACACTGTTGGCCAGCTCGGGCGCCGTAATCTTGGCCAGCATCTCGTTGATCCAGGCGACCAGATCGCGATACTCATCGAAGTAGGATTGCAGCTGCTCCGCCTGGTTCAGTTTGCCCTTGCGCGCATTCGTCTTCTCCTTGAGATCCGTCCAGGCTTCGACGGTCTCGTCGCGCTTCACTTCGATGTGTTCCCGGGCATCGGGATAGATTTCGCCCAGTTTGACGGCTTCGGCCAGCACCGAATCGACCTGCTCCTTAATGGCCACCAGTTCGCCCTCAAATACCTGATGTTTGCGTCCCAGCGCCTGTATGCTCTCCAAATCCTGGCCATAGTCCTCCGAGATGAGGGAGGCATCCTTTTCGTTGATCAGCGAGATGGTCTCGTCGGCAACGCGATCGTAGACATGCACCTGCTTGGCGCCGGCGAGCGCATCCTGCCGAGCATTCACCAGATCCTTAAGCTCGTCCCACAACTGTTTGGTCTCGTCGCGCTTGGCCTTGATGGAATTGCGATAGGGATTGTTCTCCTGTATGAGGCGATCGCCGCGCTCCAGACAAGCCTCGACACGCGCCTCATTGGCGTTCAGATTGGACACAAAGGATTCGAAGGCCAGCATCAATTGCTCGACATGCTCGACATCCTCGCCGTAATCCTCGCTGGCGGTGACCGTCATTTGATCGCCCACCCATTCGTGCAGCTCCTCCGTTTCGCGCAGATACTCGAAGAGCTTCTTGCACTCGGAAAGACGCAGCTCCCGGTCCTTGGCCAGACGCAGCAGCTCCGCGTATTGCTGCGAGACGGCGCCGTTCTTCTCCTGGATGTTGGCGCTATCAAAGTGATTGCGTTCGATGAGGCCCGTGGCCAGCTTGTTGACCTTGTCAATGGACGGCTTGAAG